CCCCTCTCCCACCATTAGAATGTAAGCTCCTTGAAAGCAAGGATTTTTGTCTCTCCAAAACTATATCCCCACATGGAGTGTTGGAACCCAAGAATGAAGAAGGCATCCTCTTTGGAGGGCGGTGGAGAGTATGGCCCAGCACACATTCTCAGAACATGTACAGGGTTAGGAGGGCATCTGCGCTGGGAAAGGAATGGTGGCAGAGACTCCTATATGTATGGCTACATCTAGAAGGATTGATCAAATAAGTAAATACATTAAAGATAATTCACTGTTGGGGTGCCTGGGTGACTCAGTCAGTTAGGCGGGACTTTGGCTCAGGTCATGAACTCAGGGTCCTGGGATTGAACCCCGTGTCGGGCTCCCTGCTCAGTGGTGAGTCTGCTTCTCCCTCTCCCTCTGCTCCTCCCCCTGCTTGTGCTCTGTCTCTCTCTCAAATAAATTAATAAAATCTTAAAAAAAAAAAAAAAGATAATTCACTGTTAGAGAAGATACAAATATGGAAAGGGAGAAAACTTGAATGAGCCTTATGGTGATGGATTGGAATTAGAGGTATTGGTGTGAATTCATGGTTTTCAAGATAGTTAATTACTTCTCAGCCTTTTGGCTAAGATCAAGTGAAGATAGCAAGACAGATAGATAGATAAATGTACAAGTAAATATAGATGTAAATGTGTGTATGTGTTAGTGTGTACATTCTGTGTGGAAGTATGTGGGTGTATATTCCCAACTGTGACCCTGAGTGGGCCTTGCAAGAGGGACGCCCTAATAGTAATGAGTATGCTTAGCACTCAGATCTTGGCTTCTATTTTTTTAGATTTTTTTTTTTTAATTTATTTATTTGACACAGAGAGAGAGGGAACACAAGCAGGGGGAGTGGGAGAGGGAGAAGCAGGTTTCCCGCTGAGCAGGGAACCCGATGCGGGGCTCGATCCCAGGACCCTGGGATCATGACCTGAGCTGAAGGCAGACGCTTAACAACTGAGCCACCCAGGCGCCCCTAGATCTTGGCTTCTAAATACCACTGTCCCACTAAATGATACTAGGACTCGGGCCCAGGGCAGGAACAGTACAAGATGAGCCTACAACATCTTTTGCCAGAAAAGAATGACCAAAGGATAATGAAGACATGTCAAAAGGACACAGAAGTCAGTTTGAAGAGCTTCTACTAGCCAAACTGGGACTATTTTAGCATAAAAATAAATAATGATGAGACTGAATTTAACCCATCAAATAACATAGGAAACTCTGAGCACATTAATCAGTTGATTAATTGAATGCTTGGTAAAGAATAGGATATTTACATAGACAGACAAATACTTACCAAGTTACCAAAAAAAGGTAATGTTGTACTATGGTTATGTAAGATGTTACCATGGGGGAAATTACATGAAGGATACAGGGACTTCTTTTTCTTTTTTTTTTTTTTAAGATTTTATTTATTTTTTGACAGAGAGGGAACACAAGCCGGGGGATCGGAAGAGGGAGAAGCAGGCTTCCCTGAGAACAGGGAGCCCAATGCGGGGCTTGATCCCAGGACCCCAGGATCATGACCTGAGCCGAAGGCAGACGCTTAACGACTGAGCCACCCAGGTGCCCCATACAGGGACTTCTTTATATTATTTTTGCAACTTCCTGTGAGTCTGTAATTCTTTCATAATTTAAAATAAATTTTAATTTTAGGGGCACCTGGGTGGCTCAGTCGGTTAAGCGGCTGCCTTCGGCTCAGGTCATGATCCTGGGGTCCTGGGATTGAGTCCCACGTCCGGCTCCCTGCTCAGCGGAGAGCCTGCTTCTCCCTCTCCCTCTGCCTGCCACTCTGCCTACTTGTGCTCTCTGTCAAATAAATAAAAATCTTTAAAAAAAATAAATAAAATAAATTTTAATTTTAAAAAAAGAGCAACTTTACATTAGAGAAGCCTGTCTGACCATGACCTTAATCAAGAAATGAAAGTTAACATCATCTGTAATGGGACAAATCAAAATTATGTGCAGCCTGATAGGATGCAAGGAGAAGAATGCAGTGTCACCTCTGTGATTTCCCCGTTGGAAGACACAGTCTGAATCTAATCCTGGAAAACAGCAGGCAAACCTAAGATGAGGGCCCAAATTGAGGGACATTCTACAAATTAACTGGCTTGTAATCTTCAAAAGTGTCAAGGTCATGAAAATTAAAGATTGAGGAACTGTGCTATACTGAAGGAGATTTGAGACATAACTAAATACAATGGGATTCTGATTCTTTTGCCATAAAGAAAATTATTGGGACGATGGGTGATTCTTGAGTGGGGCCGAGGATTGGATTGTAGAAAAATGCTGATTTCCTGATTTTGATGGTTATATTGTGGATATATATACACACATATATATATATGTGTGTATATATATATATAGTGGTTATACTGTGGAAAATACAAACTAAGAGTATTCCAGTGTGAAATTCCTCTGTATTACAGTTGGAATTTTCTATTCGTTTGTGATTGTTTCAAAAAGAAGTTTTTAATTATTAAAAAAAAATACAACTAATCCCCAGCACCTAGAACAGGCATGGCATTCCAAGTGCTCAATAAATATTTGAATGAATTAATGAACTACATAAACAAGTACAACAAACACATGCTTAGAAATAAAGACATCCAAACAGTAACAGTGGTTTATTTCAAGGAATGGATTTATCATAGGTAATTTGGGTATTTTTTTTTTTTACTTCGTGCTTTTCTGTTTCGTACATTTTTGCATCAAACCTGTTTTACTGGGGTACCTGGGTGGCTCACTTGGTTAAGGAACTGCCTTCGGCTCAGGTCATGATCCTGGAGTCCCGGGATCGAGTCCCACATCAGGCTCCCTGCTCGGCGGGGGATCTGCTTCTCCCTCTGACCCTCTTCCCTCTCGTGCTCTCTCATTCTCTCTCAAATAAAAAAAGAAAAATCTTTAAAAAAAAAAACCTGTATTACTAATTGTTAAATTGGTCAAGGAGCCTGATGCGGGACTCAATCCCAGGACCCTGGGATCATGACCTGAGCCAAAGGCAGCTGCTTAATGGACTGAGCCACCCAAAGGTCACCCTATTTTTACTTTTGATGGTAAAATGTACCATACAGATATCCAGCCTTCCTCATAATGGAGGGTCTCAATCCATGGGCATGTAGACCAAGCAGTGAGGCGCTCTATAGTCACCACATCTACTCCTCACAATAATTCTCTTCAGTACATAGCATCATCCTCCTTTTATCTATGAAGAAACTGGGGTTCACAGACACCAAATGACTCTCATCTGAGACCAAGCTCCCTTTGTGCCTTGATTTGCAAATATTCTTAAATCTTTTTTCTCTGGCGTGCCTACTGCACATCACGAAGGCAAAACCTGCGTCTGAGCCCTCTGCCTGGCTGGCGGCCATTCACTCAGCATGCCCCAAGCCAACTCCTTCCTGACTTCCTCCAGTGACCCTAGCTCTTCAGCTTGCAATCCCCTTTGACTCCTCCCACAGGGTTCAGCAAACCTTGCAGATCCTCCCTCCTCTTAAGTGTGTCCCCCATCTGCCCTCCCTTCCATCCCAGCAACCACCACTCTGCTTCAGCCCTCACTACCTTTCACAGGGACTGTGGTTGCACTAAGCTCCTAAGGAGGCTCCCAGCCTCCACAATCTGTCGTCTCCAGTCTCTCCCACTGTGCCACCTGGGTGATCTCTCCAAAACTTAGCTCTAGTCCTGCACTCCCCAACTTCCAAACCTTCTGAGGTCCCCTCTGCCTGCTCCTTTCCCTGATATTTGACTCAACCTACCCTGCCAGTTTTGCTTCCAAGACTCCCCTCCCATACAGCCAAAATGAATGCCTCACTATTCCTTGAACAGACTTCCAGTGAGGTTGTTTGTTCAGCTTAGAATTTCTGTCTGCCTTCTCTTCTGGGCCATTCAAGCTTCACAAAGCTGTGCTTTATTCTGACTATACTCACTTCTCATTCTGCTCACCACCTCTCCCCACTCCACACCCTGCATTTATTTGTAAACTCCTTGAGAGCTGAAATTCTACCTTCTTCATTATTGATTGAAATGTTTTCACACTGAGATACAACTGATAAACCACACGACCTATTTTCTAATTGGTCCAGCCACTCACAGGGACCCGGATTAAAAAGGCACATGGTGTGCCAGGTCTGCTAGTGGCAACAACCAAGCTTGGCCTATTTAATTTTTTTTCCCCTCCAAGCCTGGCCTATTTGAACCCAGATCTTCTCACAAAACTGTCACTTCTGGCCAAGTGCCCATCACAGGCTTCTAGAAGTTCTGATAGCTGCCGGCTGATATCTGGGACAGTCAAAGCACACAGAACATTCTGGAATTATTAGTCGTACGAACAGACTTTGCGCTGAAGAGAACATCAGATCAACTTCACTGTTCAACAACAGAAGAAATGAACGCACAAAAAAGAGAAGAGACTCGACCTAAGTCACACAACAAAGCAGGAAAACACAACTAGACCGAGAAGTGACCCTCCATGACGGCCCTTTAGGCCACGCTCCTCTGCACCTTGGAGCCGTACAGACCTAGGGTCAGCCGACTCCGCCACCTGTGGTCACTGCCCAACACGTCACCACCTGTTTTCTCTCCCTCATCTCACAGACCCCTTTGTCCTTCCCACAGTAAAATCTTTCCTCCCCCCAAGTCTCAGGGCGGCGAGAGGACGACTCTGGGCTGGATCAGTTGGCTGCGGACAGAGAAAGAACCCGTTGCTGGGTCAGACACCCAACTTCTTCAGAAGAAGCCGACTCCTCCGAGCTTCCGGGATCAGAACTCAGCCTCCTACCCCGCCCGGCCCCGCCCCCAACGTGCTCGGCCCCGCCCCAGACCCGCGTGCCGACACGCGGCCCCCTCGCCTGGCCTGGGCGGAGCCGAGCTCCAATCTCCGCCCTCCCCCTAAGATCCACCCTATTGGCGTAGACAGTCAGAAGCCACGTCCAATGAGACGGAACGGGCGGCCGCCTGGTCCTATCCGCTGCGACAACACAAAAAACGGACGCAACTAACTGGCAGACGCTACATCGTGGTCTTTCCGGGTCCTTCCCCGCTTAGACCGTACTCCTGCGGGTCCCGGCCCTGAAGGCGAGCCGGAAAGGACCGTCTACTAAGTAAGTGTCTGCCGCGGCGGTGGCCGTTGGCGTCGGTCCGGTAATCGTAATTACCCTGTTGGATTTTTAGGATGTTCTCACTTTTAAATATTATCGTTCTCCTGCGGCTGCTCTCCCTCAGAGCTCGGGGTGGGATGGGCCGTGGGGGAAGGCCCGAGAAAGGGGCGGGGAGCAGCGGAGCACGTGGAACGCCGGCCTGAGCGTGGCGTGGATGGGGGGCTGGGCCGGCGAGCTCCGGCTGCGCCGGCTCCGGGGGCGTGTACAGCCCGGCTCGTCCTGTCGGGTCGGCTCTGCAGCCGTAAACGGTGGAACGTGGGGGGACCCCGAGTGTCGCCGCTCTGTGTCGGACCCGAGAGAGCGTTTTATTAAGCCCTGGTGCTGAAGGTAGCACCCCACACCTGCCTCTGGCTGGAGCGCGGACCCTTGGTGGCCGTTTCCCTGGGAGTTCAGGTTGTGAGAACAGCTAACGCACCTTGAGCGCGTACTGAGTGCTCCGCGCTGTGCTAACTGCTTTACAAGCCTTAACTAAGTTTCCCCCCCACCAGCCCGGTGAGGTAGGTAGGAGTACCTTTGTCAGACGCAGGAAGAGGCCCAGTGAGGTTTCGCTTGTCCAGGATAACTACGGAACTAGTCAGTAGCAGAGCCCCGGTTTGAACCCAGGCGTTCCGAGTTTACCTCCACACCGAGTCGTGTGTGGGCGAGGAAGCCACCTTTTCGTACTCGTGCCTTCGGGGTCCCGGGCGCCTCATCGCGCCCCGCCCCCGCTGACCTCAGAAACGGTGATACCACCCCCTTCCCCCCGCCCACCATGGGCGGGGGGTAGTCCACAGTCCCTTTCTTGTGACTGAAACAGCAAGGCGGAGAGAAAACTGTCATAACTTCCTGGAGGAAACAGACGAAATTCCGAAATTCCCAAGTCTGGTTTTAAATAACAATGGAAGTTACACTTGAGGTGGTGGTCGGTGGGTAACCAACCCCCGGGGCCTGACCAGCCGGGGTGAGATTCCTTTTTCTCCATTCTTTGTGTCCTGCTGGGTAAGATACTTAGTCCTGGAAGCCTCAGTTTCCTCATTTGTAAAAATAGAAAAACCATCTCAAGGTGGGCATGGCAAGCTCCTTGGAGAGGCCATTTTGTATTCGGCTTTACAAACCATTCAGCATTAGCATTTTCCGTATTACAATCCGGTAGTCTCCATAATCGTAATTACTCCGTTGGATTTTTAGGATTTTAAGTATTATAGTTCTTCTGTAGTAAATCTTTTTTGTGTTTTTTTTTTTTTTGTGGGGTTTTTTTTGGGTTTTTTGGAGGGGTTTTTTTGGTTTTTTTAAAAGATTTTTATTTATTTATTTGAGAGAGAGAGAGCACATGAGAGGGGGGAGGGTCAGAGGGAGAAGCAGACTCCCCGCCGAGCAGGGAGCCCGATGCGGGACTCGATCCAGGGACTCCAGGATCATGACCTGAGCCGAAGGCAGTCGCTTAACCAACTGAGCCACCCAGGCGCCCTCTTTTTTGTTTTTGAGATATAATTCACATACCGTAAAATCCACCATTGTAAAGGGTACAGTTCAGTGGGTTTTGTAATATATTCACAGGATTGTGTGACTATCACCACGATCTTATTCCAGAACATTTTCATCACCCCAAAAAGAAACCCTGTGGCCCCAGTGTGGCCCAGGCAACTCAGAGGAGTTTTGTTGGACTCCAGGCCAGATGTTGAGGCCCAGCTGCCAGGGCCTCCCAACCTGAGGTCTTGGGTGGGGGAGATGGAGCCTCTTCCCACCCTGAATTTCAGCCCTGGGCTCCCAGCACACCTGCTGAGCAGAGGCCCAGGTAGAGGCTGCCCCACAGCCCCCTGGTATGGGGAGGTGTCTCGGGAGAGGGGGAGGGCCAGTTATCCAAGAAACTGTGGGGTGTTCCAACCACAAGCCTTTGGGAGAGCTGTGCCAAATCTTGGCCATTCCTATGGGGAGAACTGCCCGACTTCCAGGCCAAGCCAACTTCCAGATGAGATCCCACAACTGGGCCTCTACAGAGACTAGATTTGAAGCAGGGCCTGAAAAATTCAGGAATTTGCCAAACTTCAGGATTATCGACAAGCGGGGGTTCAGACTTGGAGCCAAAGGAGGTGAACCTTTGAAAGCTCTTGCAACCAAGGTAAAAATGAAACGGAATGACTTCATAGCAACATAACAGCAAAGAATGGAGAAGCTAAACTGAATTAGAAAGGGCAAGACTGCAAACCCATCTGATGGTCATGTTATTTCACGGGCGGAACCCAATTAATGCAGTGGATACTATCCAAACAGCTTTCATCTGGAGAAAGCTATTGGCAGTTCTGAAAAGCAAAGAGTAAAGTATACCAATACTGTATTTCAATTTTATCACTATTGAAAAGCATTTATTTAGCCCTACTGAAAAGCAGTAAAGCAAAGCATTAGAGGTATACACTGCTGCCTACCAAAATGCACCAAAGGTTGATGAGGAAGATTTACAGGTTTTTCAGAAGCTTTAGGTATCCACCAGATTATCAACCTCATTTAGATAATGTAAGAATGTTACCCAGTGATCTAGCTCAGCCAGTAACTCCGGAAACCAAAAGGAAAGCTTTTGTGCACTGTGAGGCCAAGTGCTCCATCTCCAGGATTACCCGGGGAGCTGGACAAATCAAAACCACAGCTCCTGGCTAGGTTTGCCAACAAACCTGTTGCCGAACAAACTCGGATAAACTCATCACAAGAGAAGCCAGTAACTCAAGAGACCAGGGTTTAGAAAAGAGAAAGAGAAATTTATTTCAGGTGCCAGCAGCCAGAGGCGGTGGCAGACTCAAGCCTTAACTGACCTCTCAGCCCACAAGTTGGATACCTAGAGTTTTATAGGGAGAGGTTCAGAGGGGTACGTGCCAAAGAACAGAGTGTGTGATCACAGGTTGGGGGGTTGGTATGTGCATCCCATGATCGTGGGCAGGGAGGGGATGTATGGGATGTGGTCTTTCTAGGCATTCTGTTGCTGTTGGGGCTTTTCTGGCCTGGCGGTTCCAATGTTCTGGTCATTGCAAAACCTCTTCATCAGTGCCTCAAGAAAGCATGATTAGAAATAAGAGCAATAGGTTTCAGTTAGAGCTTGAGTTAGGCATCCTGTCTATTTCTGGTTTTAACTGTTGGGATCTGTAGTTAAGCAAGAGGGCTCACTGACAAGAACAAATTCAGAGTTTCCAGAGATCACTGTCAGCTAAGTGTATATCTGCAACAGGACATCACCTGTTGACTAAGAAAGGGTCAACAAGCAGATGATTGAGATGTTACAGAAGAAAATTAATTTTCTTATACTTGTTTCCATTTTCATCTTAAAATGACTCAATCCAGGATTACAGTGGTACCCCTTATCCAGGGGGACACATTCCAAAACCCCCTGTGGATGCCTGAAACCATGGGTAGTACCGAAACCTGTATATTCTGTTTTTTTCCTATACAGACATACCTGTGATAAAGTTTAATTCATAAATTAGGCAGTAAGAGATGAACAACAATAACTGATAATCAAATAGAACAATTACAACAATATACTGTGATAAAAGGTATGTGAACATGATCTGTCTCAAAATCTTATTGTACTGTACTCACCCTTTTTGTGATAATGTAAGATGATAAAATGCCAGTGCAATGAGACGACTTATAGACATTGTGACACGGCATTAGACTGTTAACTGATCTCCCAAGGATACATCCGGAGGAGGATCATCTGCTTCTGGATCTAATGGAGGATAACTGAACCCGGGGAAAGTGAAACTGGGTCAGGGGGTCTGCTGGACTGAATTGTAAAACTTTATACTGGCTTGCTATGTTAAACCTCGAAATGCTACTGAAAATAGGGGGAAAAAATAAAGGAAGTTTGTGCTGACCTAAAATGAAGGTTTTAAAAAATATTACATACTCAGTCATTTTAATCTCTTACCTGTGATGTGTGGTCTTATTGTATAATCCCCTTCCCTCCTTTTTTTAAGATTATGGATTTCAAAGTGTTTCATATTATTGCACTATTCCTGGTTGGGAATGCTATAAGTAGATAACAGAAACCAAAGAAATCTGCCAATTCCAGTTCTTTAAGGTCGACTCCAGGAAAGGATCCTATCTAGTTGTTCTGATTAAAAAATTCTATTTCAGGGGCGCCTGGGTGGCTCAGTCATTAGGCGTCTGCCTTCGGCTCAGGTCATGATCCCAGGGTCCTGGGATCGAGCCCCGCATCGGGCTCCCTGCTCCGCGGGGGGCCTGCTTCTCCCTCGCCCGCTGCTTGTGTTCCCTCTCTCGCTGTGTCTCTCTCTGTCAAGTAAATTTTAAAAATCTTTAAAAAAAAAAAAATTCTATTTCATGGGGCACCTGGGTGGCTCAGTCGATCAAGCGTCCAATTCTTGATTTTAGCTCAGGTCATGATCTCATGGTTGTGAGATCAAGCCCCGCATAGGGCTCGGTGCTGGGCTCTCTCTCCCTCTGCCCCTTATCCTACCCACTCTCTTAAAAAAATTCGATTTCATGAAGAGTTAAGTAAAAAGACAAGTTTTTTTTTTAACTTTTACTGAAACATGAAGTCTCATCATTTGATCTATGTATTTACCTTTCAGTAAGTGTTTAATCAAACAAAGTAAAGGAAATATGGTACTACTGTATCAGTGTTTTATGAATGCACAGGCATAAATCTTAGTTTAAATAAAAGTCACATTCAACCTGATTCTGGTTTTAAAACAAAACTGTCATAGTGAAGTATTATATATGTGACTATTGCTTTTGGTACCAAAGCTAAAAATTTGGTGGCATGAAAACATAAACAGGTACACATGGAACATTATAAATCACTTAAAGTCTTATAAAAATTTTACTAAGCTACCACCTAGATAATGAAAGGATATAACAGTGACTCTTATTCCTAGAAATATAAAACAATTTAATCGGAACCTTTATAAACTAATTTGGGGTGACTGGGAAAAGCACTTACTCATAACAGAAAAAAAGACTCCCAACAAGCTTCTTTCAAAAGGAATATTTGGGGGTGGAGGGATCTTTGTGCCAGTTAGTCATTCCCCATTCTCTGCCTTCTCTTCCCCTACTTCCAGCCCCCTGGAAACTACCTCTTCCAGTCCAATTTATTTTTTCCTTGTGCTTCAGGTGTTCTATCTAAGGAACCATTACTTAATCCATGATCATGATGATTTATATCTTTATTTTCTTCTAAGAGTTTTATAGTTTTAGGGGCACCTGGGTGGTGCAGTCAGTTAAGTGTCCAACTCTTGGTTTCAGCTCAGGTCGTGATCTCAGGGTTGTGGGATCAAGCCCTGTGTGGAGCTCTGCACTCAGTATGGAGTCTACTTGGGATTCCTCTCCCACTCCCTCTACCCCTCCTGCTCATGCTCACACTGTCTCTCTTTCTCTAAAAAAAAACTTTTTAAGTTTTATAGTTTTAGATATTGGATCCATTAGAGTTAATTTTTATATATGATGTGAAGTAGGGATTCAAATTCATTCTTTTGCAGGCGGATATCCAGTTCCTAAGTTATTATTTTTGATGTTACTGTAAATGGAATTGTTTTCTTTAATTTCATTTTCAGATTGTATCCTGAAACTTTAACTCATGTATCTATCACCTCTAATAGTTTTACTGTGGATTCTTTAGGATTTTCTGTTTATAAGATCATGCCATCTACCAATAGAAGTAGTGGTGAGAAAAGACATCCTCGTCTTGTTCCTGAATGGGGGAGGGGGTGGAGCTTGTACTTTTTCACCATAAAGTATGTGAGCTTTGAGTTTCTTGTAGATGCCCTTTATCACGTTGAGGAAGTTACCTTCTATTCCTAGTTTTTAATCATGAGAGGCCACTGGATTTTACCCAGTGATTTTTCTGCATCTATTGAGATAGTCACATGGGGTTTTCCCCTACATTTATTCTATTAATATGCTGTATTACAGTGATTGATCTCCCTATGTTGAATCAACCTTGTATTCCTGGGATAAATCCTGCTTGCTCCTCATGTATAATCCTTTTCATGAGCTTTTGGATTGGGTTTGCTAGTATTTTGTGTGTCTGTGTCCTAGATATATTGATATATAGGTTTTTTTTTTAAGATTTTATTTATTTATTTGACAGAAAGAGACACAGCGAGAGAGGGAACACAAGCAGGGGGAGTGGGAGAGGGAGAAGCAGGCTTCTCGCGGAGCAGGGAACCGGGAGCCCGATGGCGGGGCTCGATCCCAGGACCCTGGGATCATGACGTGAGCTGAAGGCAGACACTCAACGACTGAGCCACCCAGGCACCCCAATATATAGTTTTCTTGTGATGTCTTTGGTTTTGGTAACAGGGTAATACTAGCCTCATAAAGTGATTGGAAAGTTGTAATTTTTATAATCTTTTGGATTATTTTTTTTAGGATCAATTCCCAAAAGAAGGCTTGTACATTTTTAAATTACTTGATAAGTATTGCCTGGTCATTTTCCAAAAAGTTAAATCATGTTTATTTGTTTGAGATTAACATTGTCTTTCCGGACTAATGGTCTCTCAGAAATTATTTCTCTTTACTCCTTCAAGTACTTAAAAGATTCTCTGAAAGGCAAAGCCAGGTCCAGCCTTTCAGAACACTTCTTAGTACCTGCCTGGCAGAGCAGCTCCAAAGGAGCCAGGATTCAGCATTTGATCCAGCAAATTGTTAGCACTTCTATCAAGAATAGAGTTTCTCCACCTCAGCACTGTTGCTGGATTAACTCGCAGTGTATTGTAAGATGGTTAGCATCAATGGCTTTTTCTCACTAAATGGCAATAGCAGCCACCACCAGCCCCACCTCCTCCCCCCCCAAGTTGTGACAAACAAAAATGTCTCCCATCATTGTCACATGTCCCCTGGTGGTTAAAATTGTCCTCATTGAGACACACTGATCTAAAAACTGATACGTGCTGGATTTCCTATTACTATCCAATAAAATTATCTCTGATTTTGAAATCAAAGCCTCACTATATATTTGGCTTTGGATCTACATTTGTCTGAGTCTTTGTCACCATGTGTTGATGACTTTCAAATCTCTATCCTTAGCCTTGTTTCCTCTCTGGATTCCCAGAGCTTGTGTACAGTTGCCTGCCTTGGTGTTCTACAGGCGTCTTGAGATTGGTTTGTTCAAAATGAGACTGATTCTCTTCTCTCCCCCAAACTGCTCTTCGTCCTTAGTCTTGGTCTCCCAGGTCAGGACCCTACCAGTCAGTCACTTACTGGTTCTTCACTTCTCTGTCTCCACCTCTCCCATGAAATTCACCTCCTGAGTCTCTCTAAATTCAAGATCCTCTGTCCCAAGTGTCACTTCCACAGTGGGAAGGTTCATCTCCCGTAGCTTGCTGCAGCAGTCCTTAACTTCCAGCTTATTCTCTCTGCTACCTGTAAAGTGCCCTTTCCAACATGTGTGTCTAATCCTGTCAGAGCCCTCATGGGCTGGCCCTGCCTCCCTTTCCAGCTTCATCCCCCAGCCTTTGGCCATACCAAGCTGCTTGCAGGTCCCTTTCCTCACCCCCTTGCCTGACACTCATTCTTCTAGATGCAGTTCAAACTCTGTCTCTCCTCCAGCCCTTCCACTCAAAGAATGACCCTCCTCCTTTGCTACACCTGGAGAGACCTGGGTCTTCACTTATGAGGCACTGCAGGAATCGGTTCATTCACGACTATGTCCCTGGTGATCAGCAAGTGTCTTGAGAATGGGAACCACAGTTTATCTCTGCCTGCTCCCCAGGGCCCAGTGGGCCCTCCGTAAATCTGTGTTGAATAGCAAATGAAAATGCCTAGAGCCGAAAGGGGCTACCTGGGATTTTAAAGTAGCTGCAGGGTTGTTTGGGTTTGTTTTTTGTTTAGTTCAGTGAACATTTACTGAGAACCAACTAGGTCATGGGTGTTAGGAACAGAAGGAACAAGGCAAGATCTTTGCTTAGAGAATTCACATTACACCTAATATGAGATGGGAGTACAAAGTTTAGTACAGAGTGATAAGGGCAAGCATAATGCATAAAGTGGATACTGAGAGTGAACTATGTCTGCATTCGGGGAAGACACTCTCCCCACCCCTGAAATAGGCTTAAAAGTACGAAAAGGTATCATTTCATCCCACTCTAACCCTTTCTGTGTTGAGTCAACTTCTGTTTATCGTGACTTTTTTAAATGACTTTGGCTTGATCATGTTTATTAAATCAGTTAATGTCGTCAGCCTCTCCTTGTGTTGTAGGACCTGACCCTGTGCTTGTGTAAGTTAGTGGTTTAGAAATGTTCCAAAATCAGCAGTCACCAGTTATTTCATTATTTACTATGTCCTTGATTTTGCGCCCCTCTTTTTTTTTTTTTTTTTAAGATTTTATTTCTTTATTTGACAGAGAGAGACACAGCGAGAGAGGGAACACAAGCAGGGGGAGTGGGAGAGGGAGAAGCAGGCTCCACGCAGAGCAGGGAGCCCGATGCGGGGCTCGATCCCAGGACCCTGGGATCATGACCTGAGCCGAAGGCAGTCGCTTAACCGACTGAGCATCCCAGGCGCCCCGCACCCCTCTTTTGAGGATACAGGCATGCCATGCTCCTGCCTCCTGATCTGAAGCCTTTGACTTACCATTATATGTGTTCTTCAATGTAATCCTGCATTATTTCATAATTAAAGCAAACTGGAGTCCTATGTACAGAATGTGCAATCTAGAGAAATTTTTATCTTTTTATAGAGTTGCTAATAATAATCTTTAGGTCAATATGCCTTCTTTTTCTTACCAGTTTTCTTAGCACTGGCCCTATTTCCCTTCCTCTGCATAGTGCCTCTTAGCTTGTAACTTAACTAGTTAGTAAATACAACTTTATTCGTAAATAAAGATTAAGGTGATTGATCCTTAGGGAGACCCATGTGTGTGGTGTCCAGGAGCCATGAAAGTGGGTTGCTTAGGAAATTGAATAAAGTTATTATACTATTGGACAGGGGTGAGGGCGGCAGTGGTATTTACAGAGAAGGGAAATATGGATAGGTACAAGAGCAGGCAGGGAAGTAGGGAGAGATTCTGGGCTCCGAACCTGCTGAGTCTCCTGTCGCTGTGGAAGGAGGAGTGGCGGTAGAAGTTGATGCCCAGGAGGGATGCTAGAGGTTGGAGATGAACCTGTGTTGGCAGGTGAGATGGTATATGTATGAAAAGAAGAGGATCTAGGACAGAACAGTAGAAAACAGATACAGGGCAGGTGACCCAAGAGAAAGCTATTCCAGAAGCCAAAGGAAGAGTGAAGCTTCGTGGCATCACATGTTTTAGGAATAAGGGCTAAAGAGAGACGACTAACTTTGGCAGGTAGGGGGATCATTAGTTAAATACCTCACAAGAGCATTTGAGCAGAAAGGCGAGGGAGGAGCCCTAACTGCAGTGGGTTGAAGAGTGACTGGGAAACAAGCAGTGGGATGTGTGCACATAGACCACATGCTCAGGATATCCTCTTCCTTTTGGGTCAGAGATGAAGCACATACAAATGAAAAACCTGAGCATGTCCATAGGTGAGGTAAGGACAGGGGAAATTGGTTAAACATACGGGAAAGGTATCTGTAGGGTCTGAGAAGGAATGAGAGCAATAGCCAGGTGGGGTGGGTTTGCCAGGAAAAGGCACAAGGACACCCGTTTCTCCCAAGACAAGCGGGAAGACCATTGGAAATATTAAAGGCAGGTATTTGTGGAAGGGAAGGGAGAGAAGTTGGGAGTATTCATACCTGGCAACATCTCTCTTCTCTGTGAGGTAGGGAGCTATGCTAGCAAGGAAGGAGGACTGGAAGAAAGCGGAAAGGGATATCACCCTGAGCTGTCAGGAGTGACTCAGACTAGGAATAATTAAAGTCATTTAATTCATCAGAGGATGAAAATAAGATATTTCTCATAGCTCCCCTTCAGCACGGCTACATGCTTTTCTTCAGTGGTGCTTATTAATTCTGGCACAGGACTGGAGAGCATCTGGTGCAAGTAATCCAGGTTGTGGAATGGCCCCGTGGGGGTGGCAGACTGACTGTCTGAAGCAAGCAAACTGAGGCCTTGGTTACAGAATTCGCAAAATGTTGGGGTAAGTACTGGACCGGGAGTCCAGACTTCTGGTGCTCTGATGCCAACAGGCATTCCCCACTCAGAAGGAGAAGTTGGGAAATAAAGGCAAATAGTTTTCTAATCTATTCTTGGGTTTCATTCAGCCCTAGAAATGTTTTTCTAATTTTGTTATGGCATTTGAATGTGGTTTTAAAGTATATTCAGTAAAAAATAAATAAAAGCATATTCAGTAAGATGTCATCACTGTCTCCTGTGAGTGGGGGAAAAATCAGGCGTTGGGAAGGCATGGAACTCACAGCAGCTGGTCCATGTACCATTTTGGTCTTTTTAAGAACTCTTAATATGTCAGGCGCCTGGGTGGCTCAGTCGTTAAGCGTCTGCCTTCGGCTCAGGTCATGATCCCAGGGTCCTGGGATCGAGCCCCCACATCGGGCTCCCTGCTCGGCGGAGAGCCTGCTTCTCCCTCTCCCACTCTACCTGCTTGTGTTCCCTCTCTCGCTGTGTCTCTCTGTCAAATAAATAAAGAAAATCTTAAAAAAAAAAACACAACAACTCTTAATGTGATTCCCAATGTTGAAACTGGCAGTTAAGTGATAGATTCAGGCTATACAAGATAAGACTTGAAAAAGACACCTGAAATATGGCAATATCAGTAAGAAGTGTTCTTTTCTCATTCCTTATTTAAAAAAAAAAAAAATGCATGTGCACATCTGTCCCTTTAACAGCTTGCTTACTTCAGGGAGCTAAAACTTTTATAAAGCACGTTGAGAAATCCTACACACGGGCGGTTGTTTAACTGTGTTCACAGTTTTCCCTGCTCGGTGCTGGAATTGTGCAGGAGAAAGTGCTCACTGTCAACTATTCTCTATGAATAGGGATGTGTGTGGATTGAAAGATTATATGCTCTGGTGTTATCTGGTAAAGAAAAGAAAGAAGAATAACCTAAGAGTTCTCCTGCCAGCTTCAGCTGCCATCTAAAGTACTTGCGAGAATCTGTCATCACCTCACACAGTGACCCAAGGAAACGAAGGTCAGCAGATTGGCAGGCCAGGTGTCAACCGTGAGGTAAGAACTGTAGCTGGAGAAGTGGCTCCAGAAGCCTGGGGTCTCGTCGCTGTCTCCACTTGGAGGCAGCCCTTACAGGCGAGGCGTGGAGTGGTGGCTCCGGTGAGAACCCAGGTCAGGCCACCCCCTTGCCTAGCTCCGAGCATGAAGGAGCTGTCAAGCAGACAGCAAAGCACGTGCATGCGCGTGCGCGCGCACACACACCCATTTGCATGTGAACTTGCTTTTTTTCTCTTTTAGGAGAAGAAATGCATAAAAACAGCTGGCAGAATAGAAGACGTGGGAGAAGGAGCAACCAGCAGAACCCTCGGTTCAGGCAACAGGGTTCTGACGAGAGGCAAGTGCTGCTGCCCGGGACCACGCGAGCCCTGTGGCGGCCTCAGGTGCGCGCGAGTCACCAGGGCTGTCACCGCAGCGCAGGGTCTGGGGGGGGCGCCGCTGCCGCAAGTCAGCCCGCCTGCTGCACTTGGAGTAGTCAGGAGATACGGCCACGCTCTTTCTTTTCAGAGTGACCATGACCTCTGGCCAGAGCATTAGCCAGAGGCTTAGAAGTAGACAGTATCAGATAGAACTGGAAAGCTATTTTTCTAGTTTGCACTTTTTCGGTCTCTCTCCCTTTTTTCCCAGCCAATGAAAATAGCTTCCTGGAGATCTAATTTCATTAATTCAGCCTAAGTCCTTAGAAAGGCTAAATATATCATATTGTATTTAATGAACACAAAAGTGTATACAGAATAATACAGTGAACATCATGTACCCACTACCCCGCTTAGAAAGTAAAACCTAGTTTATACTGAGTTGAAGCCCCCAGTGCAAACATTTTCCACTTTCAGCTTATTGTTCTTATGGCCAGAAGTCCTTTTGGCCCTGGACTGTGAGGAGGTGTCCTCTCCTGGTGTGGGCGGGTTATCTTGTGCTGAGACTAGATTGTATTTCCTTCGTGCAGAAGTCTTTGCACCAGAAGAGGCCCACATGCCAATTTTAAAACTCTTCCACACTTCAGACCTCCTCCTAAAATGGACAGATTTCTAGCTACAGGGTCAGAAGATGACAAATACCAAGATGCTTCTCTAGAACAAGTGAACCTAAACAGTAACAAAAACCATCAAAATATTGTGGAAAGAACAGGGCTTCAGAATTAGGAGGTCCGGATTTGACATTCTGCCTTCTCCTATATGAATTTGGGCAAGATACTTAATCATTCTGAGTCACTCTTATACAAAAGAGAGCTAATACGAGGTTTGCAATACTGCATGGAAAGCCTCTGATGGGCTGCTTGGCTCTGAGTAGGCCCTTCATACATGGTGGGGCAGAATAAAATCTATTACTCTAAGGCAGAGTCACAGATTTGACCCATATTGTAGAACGATCAGGACAGTGCCCAATGTTTGTATGTTTTGTAAGGAGAACCATGGATATTTTTGGGGCCCCAGGCCTTCCCACAAGAGTACAATGTGTAGCAAAATGTGATCTGTGCAAGAAGAGAGTCTCAACTCTGCTTTGGCAGAGTCATGTGGAAACACGCTGGGCAGCCACCTTCTGGGCTCTATGTGGAAAGAATGGAGCAGCAGTCCTTGGACTAGAAATGTAGACATTTGTTGTGACACTTAATCCTTCCTCCTCTTGCTGCTGATCACACATGAGCTGCCTCAGAAAGCTCCAGGCCATAAAAAGGGAGAATAAATAATTTTCTCTGAAACTGCATGGTTAGTATTTACAGACAAAAGAGAACGTTCTTTCATTCCTTCAGCATACTTACTCAATTTGTATTCCTTTGGGGGATGGGGAGGAAGTTCTTGATTTTAAAGCAGATTTTGTCAGGATTCTAAAATTAGGTGTTTTGCTCTATCATTATATCCTTCAGCCTGTAATTGCCACAGAAGCTGCTTGTAGCTTTGCAAATCAACGGTTTAAACCATGGCTCTATCCCAGTATTAACTGAGCAAATCACCTCTGTGCCCTGAACGCCAGTTTCTCCATCTGTAAGGTGGTGTGCCCAAGTAAAATTTAAACCCTTTGTATTGCTAAATCCAGTAAAGAATAAAATGCACCTGCCTTGTAACTGCTGTTGAACTGACAAATGTGCCTAGCTGATAATATTCTTATTGGCAAAGATTATTCCTCTTTTCATCTGGAAATTTCAAAAAGACCTTACAAAATGCTCAAGTGAGGAGATAAGGAAAGGGACTTACTGTGACACACATCCTGTTAAGGATGAGGAACCAAAACCTTGTCCTAACTTTTGTATATTTGAAGTAGGTAAACTGCTTTCAAGGAGAAGGGAGAGGTCAGGGCTCCCCAAGTAATCAGAAGGGTCAGAGGGCTGGGGTGAAGGCCATGGAACTGCCTGAACTGACCCCTGCAGGATCCTACGGTAAGAGAATGACTGGGACTCCAGCCCTTCACTGTGAGTTACTATGACTATGTGTCAACAGGGGTAACTCAGTGACACAGCAAAGCTCACAGGATTCTGGCCATGTCGGCGATGACGAGGCCCCATCGACCTCATCCGGCACAGCTGGGAGTTCTTCCGTGCCAGGTGAGGCTGTCTGTTGGACAGTAGACCTCCTGTGGCCCTGCCTGTGGGGAAAGATGAAACCTCGTCCCACCTCATCATCTGGTTACGTCTGCTTGGGCTGCCCTGCTTAGCCCTGTGTGTCTTCACTTGCATGTGGGGACACTCCATGTGGGTCACCAGCCCTTTCCTGGCTTGGAGGAAATTTCGGAGCAAATTGAAACACTAACTAAACATCCGGGCTGTGTCAGGAATGGGGATCCTGAGGCAGACGGCTCCCCCCATGGGCACAGGATGGTGACTGACAACGTTAGCCCACCTCCTGCCCCTCAGAACAGACAGACATCTGTGGGTGGTGTGGACAGACCCCTGGGTTCCTTCAGAGGTGGGTCCATGCAGTGTTCTAAGTTGAAGTGGATTTCATGTCTTTTGACTAAAGATCTGCCAGGGTATTACTTTGACCCTGAAAAGAAACGATACTTCCGCTTGCTCCCTGGACATAACAACTGCAACCCCCTCACAAAGGAGGGCATCCGGCAGAAGGAGATGGAAAGCAAAAGGCTGCAGCTGCTGGAGGAAGAAGACAAGCAGAAAAAGGTGGGCTCCACACTCCTGGTGGCCACCCTGTCCCCTCCACTGGTGATGGGAGGTGCCGATTAGATGCCCCTATAACACTTAGCATGGTGCACTTGTGGGTGTGGCATTGAGCTCCCCCTGTAGGGATCTGATGAAGAGATTCTGATGAGAACAGGCAAGAAATCTCCCACCGCCCCTTTTCTTACCTGTGAAGTTTCTTTTCTTTTCTTTTCTTTTTTTAAAGATTTTTTATTTATTTGAGAGAATGAGATAGAGCATGAGAAGGGGGGAGGGTCAGAGGGAGAAGCAGACTCCCCGCCGAGCAGGGAGCCCGATGCGGGACTCGATCCCGGGACTCCAGGATCATGACCTGAGCCGAAGGCAGTCGCTTAACCAACTGAGCCACCCAGGCGCCCTACCTGCAAAGTTTCATCAGTGATACTCACATCTTGTCCTTCCCCAGAGGAATCTTGGGAATTGGTATGATACAGTTTCAGTAACTGTATATCTTAAATAGAAAACCAAGGTGTGTGGATATGAGGATTTCCTGCATCCCTTCTGGGGATTAAATGCCAGGACCTTTCAGGGGTTTATGGGGGCTCCGTGGTCACCCCTGGTCAAACAGAAAGCATGGTGAAGACCCGAGTGACCAGTACGGTTCTTGTGCTCACTAGTGGGGTGGCTTCATCTCTTCACCTGGCTCCCCAGGTGAATTGATGGGGAGCTTAGACATGGGCACCAGGCCAACTTTCCAGCTCACATGTGCTTTCTTGTGATGGACTTTTCCTCTTGCCAAGGAGAGGAGACCCTCAGATCTCTATGCATATAATTTCTGCCAACTTAGTACACCTGCTTCTTCATTAGATCCTATGAAACTAGAAACATTCTCCATTATCCCACAACCTAAAACTTCATTGAATCTTTTTGGTTTTATTTAGAAAATAGCCAGAATGGGCTTTAATGCATCTTCACTGCTGCAGAAAAGCAAGCTGGGTTTTCTCAATGTCACCAGTTACTGCCGGTAAGACAAAGCCTCGTTAAGCTTTTTTCATGAATGTTCTTTTCCTGTTTCTTATTTCCATGGTCCAAGAAGCCAGTCAGGATAGAGCACATAACCACTCTGAGGAGTCCTCACAGTTAGGGGTGGGGGGGAGGGGGGAGGAGCATAGCCTGCCTTCTGCTAAAACCAGCCCTGAGAAAATCATTTCCCTTTAGAGCAAGGGGAGAGTCTCCTGCAGGAGGCCACAGAGGGAGAAGGGATCTAGGCAGAGAAACTCAGCAGAAATTTCTCAAGACATTTTCTCTGTGTTACTCGAAATCATTGTCAGTGTAATGAAGGTCCTATAACTTCATTACCATGAGATTTCTGCCTCCCCTTCCAATCAGTTGTCACCCAAAAGAGAGCATTAAAGGGATGTATGTGTGCTAAACTTCATATACTTGTGATGACTGATACTCCAACTAAAACCCTGTGAGCTAGATTGGTACTTCCCCCAGTTTTCAGAAGAGACTGAGGCTCAGAATAGAGCGATTGGCTCAAGGTAAAGCTAGAAAGGGTGGGCCACGCAAGGGTTACCCGCCAAAGTAGGTAGGGCAGTTCTCTCCTGTATTCCCCTCTTCAGAAGGAAAAGAGTTAAGGTCTAGGTAGATCTCTCTTCACCTTAAAACCTGCTTTGTTCTTAGTGGGGTGGTGGCCGTGATATGGAGAGGGAAGGGTCTCCATACCTGGTTCTTACTAATTGGGCCCTCTTCTTCGGCATGCTGTTTCATTTCTCAGGCACATTCTTTTTTTTTTTTTTTTTTTTTTTTTTTTTTTTTTTTTTAAGATTTTATTTATTTATTTGAGAGAGAGAGAGAGAATGAGAGACAGAGAGCATGGGAGGGAGGAGGGTCAGAGGGAGAAGCAGACTCCCCGCCGAGCAGGGAGCCCGATGCGGGACTCGATCCCGGGACTCCAGGATCATGACCTGAGCCGAAGGCAGTCGCTTAACCAACTGAGCCACCCAGGCGCCCCTCAGGCACATTCTTTTCATCTCGGGAAAGAGTTGTACTAGATGATCCAAAACCAAATTTGTCTAGTTCTAACTTTCTTTGACCCTGTGGATGGTCCACCCATTTCTTGGCCTTAGTTTTCCTAAGAGTTCTATAATTGAGATGATTTGGGATCCCGCTCAGCTCCCTTGCTGAGAATTACTCGGGAGGAGAGTCGGCTGACTAGGGGAGGTGATCTCCAGGGTGTGGGCCAGGGCAGAGCCTCGGAGGCTGCTTCATGGGTGTCTAGGCACAGTGTCCATGCCCTCCCCGCCCCTCTTTCCCTCTGCAGTTTAGCTCATGAGCTGCGAGTGAGCTGCATGCAGAGGAAAAAGGTCCAGATTCAGAGCTCGGATCCCTCCGCTTTGGCAAGCGACCGATTTAACCTCATACTGGTGAGTGGGAGGGAGCTCCCTTTGGGTGCCAGAGGTATAGCTTTTATCCCCTGACACTGCGTGGCTTAACCTTGGCTTTCATCAGGCCTAGTTATGTGGAAGCCAGTGCCATGAAAGCAGGCAGTGTCCCCTTGGTTTTACGGTTCTAACGTGTGCCTGCTGGCTACCCGCTAGCAGGTGCTGAGCTGGCAGGGCGGGCCTGCTGACAATGCTCACCCGCACTATAGCTCTGTCATTCAGTCTGAGAGCCTGGGCCCACCACACATTGACTGAGAACTGTCACAAAGTAATTTTCCCTTGGGTGTGTTGGTTACAGACTAAAAGATATGCAGTGGACTAGGGGCATTATCTGGTGGCCACACCTGAAGCTCCAGTGTCCTTCAGTAGCAACCATGTGTTACTCCCTTGCTCGCTGGCTCTGACCTGAGCAGCAGGGGCCCACAGGCCTGGACTCCTGGGCCTGCACATCTGGCACACCTTTATCATATTGTTTACAGGGAGCAGAGAGTCTTCTCTTCGTTAGGTTAGACCTGGGCTGGAAGCCAAGGCTAAAGCCAGAGCCAACTGCTTGAACCCAGAGTTCAGAGAAATGTTGGCAGAGGACCTCATGGTCCGCCGAGTTAGACTAGAAGCTCGAGGTTACAGGAGAGCATGGCCTGCCCTGCAAGCCCTGTCCTTCCTGGAGGCCAGAGAAAGGCTAAGGAGAATGGGAGAAGGATCCAGATTGGATCCTGCTGGACAGGACTGGAATCTGAAGCCACAGAGCTGACCCTTGAGGTCTTGCCCCAGGAGACCTCAACAGGAGAACCCTTACGTAAAGGGTATTCCAGGACTCACATTCTCTCCTGTGGCTTTACTCCTGTGGCTTTACTTTAATCGTCTGGGGGTACGATTTGACCTGAATCAGTAGAATATTTTCTTGCGGTTCATTCTCCTCAGGAGTCCCCTCCCTCAGGTTCCTCGGTAAAACTAGGTAGGGATGCACATGCTGCTTAGTGTGGCCCGAGCCCCCAGTCTTCGTGCTTCACCTCACACAGGCCTTGCACTGGCTCAGAGACCTTCCCAGTCACCCGGAGTTAGAGCTGATTGGCTGGCTGTGTGGACTGGAGTTTTGGGAAGGGTGCTTTGCCACCCAGAGATCAGTTTTTCCAATCTGATTCTAGTCACTGTAATGATTCTTCAGGAAGCGTGCTTTCTTTTTTTTTTTTTTTTTAAAGATTTTATTTATTTATTTGAGACAGAGAGAATGAGAGAGAGCACATGAGAGGGGGGAGGGTCAGAGGCAGAAGCAGGCTCCCTGCCGAGCAGGGAGCCCGATGCAGGACTCGATCCAGGGACTCCAGGATCATGACCTGAGCCGAAGGCAGTCGCTTAACCAACTGAGCCACCCAGGCACTCAGGAAGCGTGCTTTCTGAATAAACTTGGAAAGTGAATACATTTTCACCAGCATCCAAACCCATGTATGTGTATATAAATATATGTAAAACACATTTTGTTGTGAAGTAATTAGTAATCACATTTTTTAAGTGGAAAAAAAACTCAGATCCCAATGCAGTCTTTTCTATTGTAATTTTTTTTCAGTGCAGTGGGCTTGCTTTTTTTTTTTTTTACTTGGTGGGGAGAAAAGTGCTTGTGTAATGGGAATCCAATTTTGTATCCTCCTTTTACCCCTTCACAGGGATACAACTAGCATTTTCCACATTGTGTGTGGCTTTCATGATGGCCACATGTCACCACATGGCCCATCTAAACAGTTCACCTGGGTAGACATTGGGACTCTTCCAAACCCAATTCTGAGTGGAGTCACTATACAGACCTCAGACTTCCTGACGGCGCTCCCTCACTGCCCTTAGCCCTGCTCCTGCTTATGAGACCACATAGCTGTCAGCCTTGCCGGGTGACAGCTGGGCTGAGTAGGGGCAAGTTAGATGACCTCCATGCTCCACGCTCCCTCGTGGGTAGGCGCACTCACAATAAAATGCACAGAGCATGGGATCCTAGAGAGATGGGCAGATGATCTTGGGCAGCTCAGCCAGGGAGGTGACCTGTAGTCTCTTTTCCCTCCAGGCAGATACCAACAGTGACCGGCTCTTCACAGTGAATGATGTCAAAGTCGGAGGCTCCAAATATGGCATCATCAGCCTACGAGGTCTGAAGGCCCCCTCACTCAAGGTGCATATGCACGAAAACCTTTACTTCACCAACCGGAAGGTACGCTGCCTTTCCCATTAATTGGGAGCCTTGCAGCCCCCTTTGCACTTCGGAGCCAAGGGCCCTGCTGTAGTTGGCCCAATTCAGAGGAGAGGAGAGAACTTTGTGAAGAAGGTGGAGCTTGAGTACCTATTTTCCCCAGGGAAAATGGAGTCGTAGCTCTTGAGAACCCATAGGGGAAGAAAAGGGCCTCAGAAGTTTCTTTTCTTGGAAGAGAAATAACTGTCGATAGTTGGGAGAAGGCGTGAAACTTCTTAATGCTTGAAAGGCTTCTTTAACTGGTTGGACAGACCTTCCCTCCAGGAGGATTGCAGTGACCCAAAGGAGCCCTTGCCAAGCACAGAGTTCCTGGGCTGGGGGCTGAGGTAGCTGAGTGGGGAGTCCTCTGGTGCATCAGTCACTCAGCCGGTCTGTGACCTACACAGAGGTTAAATAAATATAATACAGCACAGCTTGCTGTCTAGGGAGCAACCTTTAAATTCCACGGGGGTGATGACTGCATGTGTAAGAAGCAGTGACATTCTGTTCATTTGGGACCTGAGCCACAAGATGGATACAGGTTGAAAATGGTTTCTGGTTGAAGTGAGAATACAGTATGCCTTTCAGAGTTAGGTTTGTCCCCTGCTATTGCAGAGACTCCATCCCCAAACCAGAGAGTATACCAGAGGTCTCACTGCGAGGTCCATGCTAATGACAGAGGACCAAAGTCTGGGGGTTACTTCCTCCCTGTTCCTCTCAAGGCCCTACATGGTGGAGCAGGGGAGACTTGCCTGTTCTGGAGCTTGTTCCAGCCCCTTTAAAAGGAGTAAGACCTGAAGAAAGAAGTCCCGTGTCTACATCCGCATTAGTTATTCCATAGGAAAGCATTTGTCTGTTTCTCTCCGCAAGTGGGCAAACCAGTCTTGCTGTGTGCTTCCTCACCAGGTGAACTCTGTGTGCTGGGCCTCGCTGAATCACCTGGACTCCCACATTCTGTATCTTTTGGCAGATGAAGAGGTTTGGTGGGCAGGCCATGCCCTGTTGTGGAGCTGGGCATCTGTGGGGTTTGTGAGGTGGCATCTTAGTGGCCAGAGGTCTGTCCCATTTTGTATGCACATCTCACCCTTTAGGAAAGAATAGTGCAGCTCGGTAGAGAACGAGGATTGCCATGGAGCAATAGCGGAGTTCCCACGGTGACACTGATGTCACTGTGTGCCGGACACTTAGGAACGGTAAAGCCTTAGGCAGGAACCCCACATCCTCCTGAGGTGAAGGAGGAGGAGCTCAGAGCTACAGTGGTTTGAGGGTGGGCCAGGCCTCTTAGGGGGGGAGACTGAGGGTGGACATCAGTAAAGGGGAGGGGAATCCTTCGGCGTTGGACATGAGTGTGTGGGCTCTGTGCCTAGGGTCCCTGTCAGAGACAGCCTTCTTTCTTTCTTTCTTTTTTTTTTTATTATATGTATTTATTTGAGAGAGAGAGGAGGGCATGAGCAGGGGGTGGGGGGACAGAGGCAGAAGGAGAAGCAGACTCCTGGCTGATCAGGGAGCCCAATGCAGGGCTCGATCCCAGGACCCCAGGATCATGACCTGAGTCGAAGACAGACGCTTAACTGACTGAGCCCCCCAGGCGCCCCCAGAGACAGCTGCCTTTAGAGCTCTCTTCATTCTAGTCTCTGCCCTTTCAGAGAACAATCAGGGCTCTTTTGCTAAAAGCACAGGAGTACAGCGTCAGTCTGTCTGGACCCTTCCTCTGGAATCCCTGGGGGCTGTTGATGATGGACAAGACAACGGTCTGTCCTGTGCTTCTGGGAGTAATACGGTTTGAGCCAAAGCCACATGTGCATGAGTCTTGTCCATGGTTCATTTTCATAATAAATGAGTTCTTAAAACTCTGACCACTCATTGTACCTAGCACCTACTTCGGGAGTTGTTCCGGGGCTAACATTATTTAACATCTGTGAATGCACTTAGCACAGTGCTTGGCACATGATGGGTTTTCTGCACATGATGGCTGAATCGGAACCAGTTGGGGTTTTTTGAATTTGTTCCACGGCACTCTATTTTTAAAAGCCTAAAGTACATTAGAGATCTGGTTATCATTTTACGTAAGACAAACACAAAACTGTGTGGCCTGTAAATTGAAAATTTTATGTGGCTTTCATTTGATGGGATTCTGTGGGGGGGATAGGACCACCTGTTACTGTGATGATCTTACCAGAGGACAGAAGAGACCAGATCTTAAAGGAGAGAAAACAAGAACCTTGCTTTCATTTCTGATCTTAAAACAGGATGACGTTTTCCCAGGTTTCTCTCCTTACACTAAGGAGAGAATAAAAATCCATATAATTGGGTTTACAGAGCGTGGTCTGTGGTAGCTTCTTCAGCCGCTTGCCCTCTGGTGGTCACTTCGGTAATCTTCAGGCTTCTGTGCACCTGCTGCTTCTGCTGAAGGTCATGGAACTTTCTCCCTTTACCAAAATGGCACCTTGTTGAGCCCGGTCCTCTGCAGTTCCCCCCACAAAATGGGAAGAGGTTAGGCCGAGGCTGCCCTTCCTGGGCTCTTCGACCCCTGTGGCCTCTGAAAGGACCAACTGATATGGCCCCATTAGCATCACACGAAGTGTAAGGGTAGTTTGGATCTTAGTCCTAGTAATTAAAAGTGCACCTGGGTAGGGACTCCTCCCCACATCCTCACCCTCCAAACCCAGAAGCAAAAGAGGTTTCTTTAGGAAGGACTTGGGCTGCCCAGCTGCAGGGTTATCGTTTATAGCTTCGGCAGTCTCTCTAACTAGAGATACTTAACACGGAGCCTGCCATCCAAGGCAGCATGACATGCACACGTCACACGTTCAGACGACCAGGAATGTTGCCTGAAAACTTTGCAGACATTTACAGTTTTCAGTGAGGGCTGTGCGCGTCTGCTCCACCAGAGGCCGTCGGGCAGACGCATCCCTGTGAGTGCTAGAGCAGGCAGCACGGCAGGTGCTCGGTCTCTGCCGTGATGTCCGAGGGGCAGCAGGATGCTGGCGGGATGGAGGGATCGGGGTGGCCTTCCTGGAGGTGATTCCCGCATGGGAAGGAGGGGACGGAGCTCCCAGCAGAAGGAAGCGGCAGGAGGGAGCGTGGCACCTGGGGCAGCGGGAAGTGGTCTAGTAGTATCCGAAGGTCTCTGGCAAGGTGGGGCACCTGGTGCTGGGATGTTCTGGAGGACTGTGGCCCTGGAGGCGTATCTTATGAGAAGCTGGCAAGGGTGAGACCTCAGACCGGGGCGGGAGGGGGGGCGGTTGCTGTAAGACTGCAGGCAGGGGAGAGGGTGTGGTGGATGAGCCAGGGGTGGAGGAGAGGCACGAGTCAAAGAAGCTCAGGATCTAGGCCAGGCAATGTAGGTGATAGAAGGTCCAAGGGGACCTCCCAGAGGGGGTTCTGGAGTCCATCACCGAGCGTGTCTTTGGAAACAGCGCTGCGTGGCCACAGGCAAGGCTGGAAAGTGTTGATCAGTGTGAGAAACAGAGTCCCTTGGAGACCTCGGGGAGGATATTTAACTGGACGATGACTGGGTTTCAGTGGGCTGAAGAGTGAAAGGAAGACAAGGGAGTGGGAGAAACACAGACTCCTCTGAGAGAAGTTTGGCTGTGAAGGGAGAGGACGCAGATCACTTGGAAGACAGCCCAGCAGACACATGGGTAAGGCACAGACAGGAGGTTCAAAGAAGAGGAAACCCAAGCAACTGTGATCCGATGCATCAGCACACCCGGTTGTAGTTGGGAAACTGAAGTTAAAATGATGACGTGGCAGTTACTATGCCCGTTCAGATGAGCACAGATCAGGCTGTTTCCAGACTGCACGACATGACCTCCCTCTGTGGGCCATTACGTCCATTTGTGAGCGGCATTTTTTTAATGAAGCCGACTAGAAAATAATGAGTCCCATATTTAGTAAGAGCAAATACTTCATGAAACTTGTGTTTCAGTTCTTTGTGTGTATGTAGAGCTTGGTAGCAGAATGAAACCTGTACCGTGGGTTCAAGAAAACACTGCCGTGAAGCAGCCTCCCCCACATGACGTATGAGACAGGAAGACAGGAGGGGATGCTCATTCCAGCAGCAGAGCAAAACAACCCAAAACCGTGGAAGTGCCCATCAGCGGGAGACGAGACAGATGAGTTGTATATTCATACAAAGGCATGCTCCACTGTGGAAGTGAAGAGACTGGAGCTACAAAATCAACCTAGATGAATCTAGAAGACAGTGGAGATGGAGAGTTGTAAAAGATGCTCTGTGGAAAGAATAGAGCACGGCGCAGAACTCAGAGCAGTTTTAGAATGTGATTCTGGGTAGAGGAGAAGGAAGAATGGGACTGGGGAGGGGTCAGAGAGGCTTTCAACTGTGTGACATTTTCTTTCCTTTTAAAATATCTGAAACTGTGGGTGCCTGGGTGGCTTAGTCGTTAAGCGTCTGCCTTCGGCTCCGGTCATGATCCCAGGGTCCTGGGAGCAAGCCCCACATCGGGCTCCCTCTTCAGTGGGAAGCCTGCTTTTCCCTCTCCCACTCCCCCTGCTTGTGTTCCTTCTCTCGCTGTCAAATAAATAAATAAAAATCTTTAAAAATATATAAATAAATAATAAATCTGAAACTAAATATGGAATATGGGAACGTGTTAAATCTGGCTCATGGTGTTACAGTTTCTTGAAGGGTACTAATGCCCATTCTCTTCCCAGAAGAGACCTTGTACTTGACTGTCCTTAACAGCTTTTGCAGGCTCTGCCTCATGGGCATCGCAGAGACTCCGGGCTGTGCCACCCTGCTCCCAGCGTCGCTGTTCGTCAGTAGTCATCCAGGTACCAAGTCCTTTCCCTTCAGAGGAGGAGGTGCTTTGAGGGAGGTCTCGGTCCCTGCCTCCAGGAGCTGCAGCCCACGATGGTGTAAACTCCGTGGCCAAGGCTTGGACAGGAGGGGTGGGAAGCACAGGCTGCGTGAGCCCGAGTCAGCCTGCGAAAGCACTTGTCGGAGAATTCCTGCAACCTGACCCAGGATTCGGACTGCAAGTGCACACGTCCCTACATACCCCTCCTTTGGGGTCATTTCAGCAGCCAGAACAGTTAAAAGTGCGAGATTAAAGTATTTATTTGGGCTGCCCGTAGAGATGGTGCAGAAAAGCCTGGCACCTGCTGCTGGCGTTGCTTGCGATCTGTGTGCCTGAAGGCAGCTGGACTTCTCCTTCCAGGTGGCACTCTGGGTATTAAGTTTTCAGTCTTTCAGAGACTTAGGACTCATTTGACAAGGCTCAAGGCTCTAAGAGTGCAGGTCTTCAGGCAGACCTGGCATGAATCCCGGCTCTGCCCCTTACCAACGTGAACAGGTTGCTTACCTTCTGTGAAGAGAACACCCACCCCGTCGGGTTACGGGGGGATTAAATGAGGTGATGCAGACTCAGCCTGGTGCCTGACATTTCATTGTGTGGCAGGCCTGTGTGGCAGGAGTGTGTGTTAACCACCGTTTCTACAGATGAGGAAGCTGAGGCGAAGAGAGGTTCAGAGCCTGCCTTACAAAACTGACCAGGACAGTGGTTCCCTCTCGGGAACAGTGGGGAGGTCGTAACGGGGAGGGGTATCAGGGTTCTGGAATGTTTTGCCTCTTAACCTGAGTGACGGTCATGTGGCTACATTTACTTTGTGATCACTCGTTGCACTCTCTATTTGGGGTGTGTGCCCTTTATGGATTCTTAGTTAAAAGGCTTATTTTTAAAATGTTTTGCTTGAGATCACCCATCAAATAGTATGATGTGGGATTGGAACCCTCTTGTCAAGATGCCACACTGCCTCCCTGACGGCAGTTAGTTCTAACACTACTGCGAAGTCAGGAAAGATTCATGTGCTCCCTCTCAGAATAGCCCCTTTTGAGCCAGGTACCCCAGCTGAGTGTCTTTTTTGTTACCATAAAAGCCAGAAAGGCCAAGGTATAGATCTCTGAGCAACCATTCCTGGAGGTCTCCGCGATCGGGCGGTCACTGGCCTGGCAGCACGGAGGGAAGGTCCCTCGAGAGCAGCCACCTTTTATATTCACTGTTGCCCTCAGCAGGAGACCGGCCTGGCATGCTCTGCAGTTTCCGGATCCCTGGGGCCTGGTCCTGTGCGTGGTCCCTCAACATTCAGGCGAATAACTCCTTCAGCACAGGTGAGCCGCGGCTGCCCCGACGGGTCCCCAGAGGAAAGACGTTCACAGGCTTCGAACCCCCTCTCCAGACTGAGTGATGCTTCTCTTTCTGCCCCCTCTGTCTCTGTCAGGCTTGTCTCGGCGGGTCCTAGTGACCAACGTGGTGACGGGACACCGGCAGTCCTTTGGGACCAGCAGTGATGTCTTGGCCCAGCAGTTTGCTCTCATGGTTGGTTGGATTAGGGGAGGAGAGCAATGTAAAGTTTCCCAAGGGTGGAAATTTTGCTGGATTGAAACTGGATCCCTCTGTGTGGCATCTGGTCGTCTCGCTTTTTCAGGGGGAAAAAAAGAGGGCATCAGAAAGGATTAGCGGGTTACTTGGTGATTATATTTGCACTGGATGAAAGTTGGCTGATTCAGAAAGGTCTGGCTAAACTGGCTTTAAACAGCTTCCTATTTAAATGAATTGTTAGCAGTTCTTGAGTACTTGGATTAGCCAGCAGGACAAGTAATTTTTTTAATGTATAAATTAAGTCCCAATTCATCATACTTACTAGGTTCATACAGTTTTCAAGTTATGTAATTTATAAGTTTAAAAATCCTACTTTTAGACAATACGTTTCAGAGACTTGCTCACTGAAAATGCCATCTTTCTTTAAGCATGGAGGAGAGAGTGTGCCGACCTGCTTTGTGCAGTAAGCACAGGGCGTGTTATTCAGGCTGCTTCAGCTGTCTGCCGTGTTTGGGACTGCAAGCCTTACCTGGATCTTTGATCTCTCCTACCCCATATTCCTCCCCCTGGCTTCTCACAAAGGATCTTGGTGGAGAGAAGGCACCTTCACTTGAGCTTCACAGAGTGAGGCCTAAGGGGCCAATGCAGCCAGTGGGGAGGACACTGGAAGACACCTGGGTCCAGTTCTTTTACCCTCTCATAAGGACCCCTTCCAGCTATACTGAGGCTCAAAGCCTGACCACACCATCGCCCACACCGCTAACCCAGGGCTGGGAGAGGGGAGGCGAGGCAGGAGTTGTATTCTGGAGGGCGCACCCCTCCCAGCCTTAGAGGGGGTGGTACCACTCATTCTCTTTCCATAGGCTCCTCTGCTGTTTAATGGCTGTCGTTCTGGGGAGATCTTTGCCATAGATCTGCGTTGTCGAAATCAGGGCAAGGGCTGGAAGGCCACCCGCCTTTTCCATGACTCAGCAGTGACCTCTGTGCAAATCCTCCAAGAAGAGCAAAACCTGATGGCGTCCGACATGGCAGGAACGGTAGGGGGGTAGCACTTGATGACTCAGGCCACTGGAGCCGCTGGTGTAGAGCTCTGCCAGGTGAAGGACTCTTCAGCAAAGACCCTTGTGGTGGGGCACGTGGCTGGCTTATTCGGACGAGTGTGTGACTCTTGATCTGAGGGTCATGAGTTCGAGCCCCATGTTGGGTGTAGAGATTACTTTAAAATAAAATCTTCTGGGAGCGAGAGAGAGCCTGCGCCAGACAGTAGCGGGGGAAGGGCAGCTGGAGACGAGCTGCGGGCTGTGTAGGGCAGTTGCTTTCTCCACCTGGGAGCCCAGCCTGGTGTAGACTGACATGAAACTGGTTTGGGTGCTTTTGAAATTTAGACTTCCCTCACTCTAAGAGGTGTTTGGAGACCAACTTGCCCTGCCTGGGTTCACTAGTGTACCTCCCGGACCCTCTCATGGCCCCTTGTGCTTTCCACAGATCAAGTTGTGGGACCTGAGGACCACTAAGTGTATAAGGCAGTACGAAGGTCATGTGAACGAGTACGCCTACCTGCCCCTGCACGTGCATGAGGAAGAAGGAATTGTGGTAGCAGGTAACCTGGGGAAGGGGAGCTCTTTCTGTCCTATCAAATGGCAGAGGGAGAAATTACTCCACATCACAACCTCGTACGTGGGACTGTGGGCTGCTGGTCGGAGACACTAGATGGGACATAGAACAGCACATTAGTAAGGAGCAGTTAAATGGCCACCCGGTGGGACAGCCCTCTCCTCACATTGGTGGGAGAACATCACCTCAGTAACAGGCAAGTTACGTGCAGTAAAACATTGAGAGACTTGGGTGTCCACCTGGTCAGCATTCAGTGTGACCTTTATCCTATCCTGTTTAAGAGCTTAGGCTCCCTGTACTTTGTGCTCACTTTCCAGTCTTGGATGTTGAGAAAAGAAATTAAGGTAATTGTGATGGAACTGGTTCCTGGTCCCCTTAACACTATCCCTGGGGATCCCTATCTGCAGAATAGGAGCAGAGGTGTTGAGCTACTAAACTCCCTTGAAAAGGGCTACAAGTTGATTGCAGATTTTGCTGTTTCTGGGGCAACAGAATATTCTGATAGCATGGAAGTTCAGTGGTTTGACACATGAAATAGTAAGCCCTTGACATCAAGGAATATGTTCTTGGTCTTGACATGTCCTCAGATTTGCAGATACGCCTCCAGAATGTACTTATTCTCTGTGAATCTTCTCTTGTGCCAAAGAAGCATCACTTTGTTAGAACTTTCTCAGGCTGTTTAGCTTCCTGTTTAAGCCTAGTTTCCACCTCAGTAGAGCCACTGTGCTCTAGGTAACAGGAAAGAGAGGAGCCCGTTGAGAGGCAGACGTGGGTGGTGGGCTAGTGCAGTCCTCGACGTGCCAGGCAGCCTGAGCCATCACAGCTGAGGGAGTGAGGTGAAGTCCGAGAGACCCTGAGATCTGCCCCCCTTTCCTCTGAAGATCTCCAGCAGCCTCTTAGGGCTGCTTCGGCGCCACATTCCTTCCGGCTGTGAGCTCCAGAGACTTACCTGGTCTTAGAAACTGAGCCGTTAAACCAGAAACCGCTCTGGTGAGAGTGGTCTCCTGGTGTGTCCCCAGGATATACTGAAGGGAAGAGATCTTCCTGGTTACTCTTTCACAAAAAGGAAATCAGTTGCATGTCACCTAGACCAGGGGGCTGGGCTCTCCCTTGAGCAGCCCTTGACATAAGAGAAGCAGAGTGGCCACCTGTTCGCCAGGATGCCTGGGGACACCAGCCAGTGCATCTTGTCACTTGGAGTACCTGCGACTAGTTGTGACTCTGGAGCACCAGGGAGACCTGTGACTTTGATTTTCAAGAAGTACAGATTATCAGCAGAAATAATTTCCATTTGAGTTTGTGTTCTGGCTCAGTGGAGTCCCTTAGGAATCGTGAGAAGCCGTGTCCACATGTATACAAGTGCTCCTGTGTGTTCTAACCTGCCATGTCTTCCCTCTTTCTTAGTGGGCCAGGACTGCTACACGAGAATCTGGAGCTTCCATGACGCCTGCCTGCTCAGAACCATACCCTCCCCACACCCCACCTCCAAGGCTGACATCCCCAGTGTGGCCTTCTCTTCTCGGCTTGGGGGTTTCCGGGGAGCCCCAGGGCTGCTCATGGCCGTCCAGCAGGACCTTTACTGTTTCTCCTACACCTAATTCTACAGGATGCAGCCTGGAGGGATGTGGATTTGACGTAAGGGAGGAAGGAGCAGCCAGACTTCTGCCACAGTTGCTGGTTCCGCTGAGGGCATTTTAAATGGATGCTCTGTGTACACAGATCCCATCCATCCAGCTGCCGGGAAGTAGGTGCTGTTTTATGTGGAGACACTTCAGTAAAGTTCTTTCAGTTAAGTTGTGAGCTCAGAGAACTCAAAAGTCCTTTTCATAAAAGGTACTTATTTCCTTGTTAAATTCCTTAGAATAGTCTGTGGCCCCCCTCCCTTTTTTTTTTTAAACAAGAAATACTTTGCTAAGGGCTGAAGATTGGCAGTAACTAAATTCAAGCTGCTGCTTTCACCAAAAGCCCCCTTAAGAAGCCCAATGAGGAGACTGGGTGAGGCTCTTAGTGCAGTCAGTGCCTGGGTCCCGGAAAGCTGTGCGCGTGGACTGGAGAAAGTCAGCTGGGGAGACCGGGAAGGCGCGGGGGGAAGGGGGGTCATTTCTCTGAGTCTCTAGAGATGAAGACTGAAGGCTGGATTTTGGAGTCATTTTTAAAAAGCCTTCTCAAGACTTATTCAGCATCCATAGCAGACCTCACTTTCTCCTTTTACAACCATTCAGAGGTATTGGAAGGAAAGATGGATCTTTCTAGATGCTAAAGGTTTTAAACAGGTCCTAGCGTGCCTTTGTTGAGGTGCCTTCCAGAACGTTAGGTATAACAGCTCCTGTTTCTATTACGGTGACTTGAATGTCAGATTTAAGGGCCCCATCTCAAAGAAAATTGGCTTTGACTTTTTGTAATCTAGAAGAAGCACTTTGTGAGATGTTTATACAGCGTTCAAGAACCTGTCTTTCTACCAAACAATAAACTAGAAAGAACCATGCATGTTTCGTCGCTTCTGTGAATGATTTAGATCAGGATTGATGCTTGTCCGCTATAGCAACGAACCAGCTGCAGTAACGTCTACTCAGATCTTGGGGGCGGGGTAATAGAGATAGACCAGCTTTAATGACTTTGCCAGAGAGCTTTCACCTGGCCCTCCAGAGCCGCCGTGCCCTTTCCCGCCTGCTCTGTGCAAGCCCCAAGAAGCTGACCTGCAGGGACTACAACGGTGAGCTCCCTGGTCCCCCTCTGGCTGGCCTGTGGGCGGCCGTGGCTGTGTCCCTCCACCCAAGGCCGCAGCCCCTGTTGGAACAGCGCACTCTCTGGGTTCCAGCAGCTTCTCCATTCGTCCCTTCAGATCTCCTAGTAACTGTACCTCACTGTTGGTAGCCCAGGAACTTTGCCAGTTAAACTCTTCAGTTACTCCCTTGAGTGGTAGTTAATTCTGTTTCCTGCCAGAACCCTAGTACGAGAACCAAATCCAAAAACAAAAATGATGAGACCATCAGATTGGTCATCTGATAGATGAGCTACACATTATGGCAAATATTTTTAGTGTCTCATTTTATAAAGAACTTTCCCCCATCCTCCTTGATCCTTGTAACAACCCATAAAGGTGGCACAGCAGGAGTAATGTAAAAATTATTAGCATCCCTTTACAGGTGGGGAAGTCTGGGCACAGAGACACTGACTTGCTCAGATCTCAGGCCTGTTCAGCAGAGAGACTTGAGACCACATTCCCTGCTGCTCAGGCTCCTCCAGTCGCAGACGACGCTCGTGTTATCAAGGCAAGTGCTGTGGAGAAATCAGGAAGTGGCCTGGTGCCAGCGTACGTGTGCAGCTAACAGCCCAAGATCTTGAAATCACCAGGTAAATGCACTTTTCTGGTCCTCAGCAATGGTAGGATTTGTAGGTGGTCAGTCATTTAGATTTGGCCCCTGTATCTCTGCAGCCCTGGCACTGACCTGCACAGAGGTCTCAGGAAACACCTACGTGACTGAAGGGTCCAGGTGGCCACTGTCACTGCAGGGTCTTTTGGATCAACTTTGGTGGCGTGTCCCTGCCCAACACACAAGCAGAACTGCTGAGCCATGAACACTCACTTTTGTCCCCACAAGTTCTAGGTTATCACAATATACAAGTGCATTACAGGATCTGCAATTTAAAATTGCTGGCACTGGCCATCTAACGCAGTTTCCCCCACGGTTCTGTATTGTTTCTGTGGAGCTGGGAGCCCATGGGTGGCTACCCTGTCAACTTGGATCCCTCCCCAAGCAGTGGAGACAACAGGACTACTCAGGAGAGTAGCAGTGAGTTCTGACATGATGGCCCTGTCCCCATATACCTTCTAAACACCACCTGTGTCCTGGCCCAAGTTCCTTGTTAGGCAGACACAGTTATCAAAGAATCGTTTTTGATTTCCCCTAGGCTTTTTAAAAAGGGAGGGAGTGGTTCTTTAAAAACTCTAAACTTAGCAAATTTGTTCTTGATCTCTGGTTAGCAGTCACTTCTAACATCTGGTATAGGTTGTATGAAAAGTCAGACTTAGCTGAGAAATTAAACATTATGGTCTGTTTGCTTGTTAACATAATGCCCCACAGTCCGGATGAAGTATTTTTTTTCTCTTCACCTGCACATCTATTAGGGCATTTTGCCCTGTTCCCCGGTGACAGCAAGAGGTGGAGGATGAGCAGGCGATGGGACGCAGCACCACGCTGGGATGATACATGCTGCTTGCTGGTTTGTCGCCTTGTGAGTGGCTGAGAGGACGGCTGCTCTGCTTAGCACTGGGGATCACAAACGCCCACAAGATAAACACCTGCTTCACACCATCCTGCTGTGTAGCCACCTTAGAATTCAGCCAGCCTAACGTGCTCGGGAGGGCGGACAGCCTCCTTGGTGTCCCCCAACGGCTCCCCAGAAGTGTCCTTTGAGACCAAGTTAGCCCCACTTATCTGTCAGCCCTAGATCTGTCCTGGCCGAAATTTTCCACAACCATCTCTGTAAACAACTGCAGGCCAAACTCGGTCTCCTCTTCATTCTGTGCATGCTGCTGCGTCTGGGCCCTTTCCCGTATGCCTCTCCGGGCTACCCACTGCGTGGCCCCTGCCACGGGAGCAGTCTTCCTGGGTCCCTGCGTTCAGTGTGGTCTTGTGCCTCAGAAGGTGTGGCCTTGAGATTGGGTCATGTGTGCCTTGCCCCTTTTGCCCCATCTCCACCTCCTGCCTGGTCTCAGGACACAAATGTTTCAAGATTCTCCCTCACCTGGGCCTCCGAGCAAGACGGACTCCCCTCCTTTCCATCTGTCAAAGTCCCACTATTAAGTCTCAGAAACCTCAGAAAGCTTAGCTTTGCCAGCATCATCGCCTTTTCATTCTTACAATCCTGTGAAGTAGGTGACGGTCACTCCAATATACTGAAGGAAAAAAAACAAAGTGACTAGCCCAGGTCTTCTAATAAGTGGAAGAGCCAGAAGCGTCTCCTGCTCAACCCTGAGATCCATTAGGCCCCTTGGGCTTGACAGAATGGGACTTCTTATGTAAGCCTGGAAGTTTAAGATCTGGGTTCAGTTCAACCTAATTCTCCCTTCTGTCCTCTTTCCTCAAGACCAGCCATCTTTGTCCCCCACAAGTGACCTCTGGACTGGTTGGCCTGTCTTCTGTTCCATCTCCTGGCTTGTTCCTGCCCCCCACCCGCTTGCGCTCTTGGCTTCATCTGAATTAAGAGCAGCTACAGCAAAAAGGACTTTCTCTGCAGAAGCCACAATCTGAGCAAAGGCACCGGATAATAAATGCTGCCGATAGCCCAGGGCTGCCTAAACCGAGGTGACACGGTGTCTGGGAAATGGAAGCGAGATGTCTAGGGCTGGAGGAGCCAGAGCCTCGAGAGTGATTCGGGCTGGAGTTAAGGATAAGGTGGCAGCTGAAACCACAGCAGTGGATGAAGTCACCCAGTACTGGCATTGTGGGCCAGTGGACTCTGCCAAATTCCACCAGACCCGGAAAGACATGCTGTGGTCTGTAAGTGGCAGTTTCAAAGATGGCGTCGGTCATATGAGCATATCCCGAAATTACACCTTCTCTGACTCCACATACCTCTGTACCGTATGTGCTTCAGTGCTCTTAAGTCTGAGTTTCCCAGGAACAAAAACAAAGGAAAAAGTTGCACCAGGTGTAATTTAACAGAAGGCAGAACTCAGATTCTAAAACGAACCCCATCGGTGGTAAGAGTTATGGGCTGCCATTATGGGTTCAGTTTTCTCCCCCTGGTTGATGGAAATTCTGAAATTGAAAACGCAAATATGGTGGGGGAAATTACCATTTTTATTTACAACCGGAAGCTGAGCTCCAGTGGTACAAGCCAGATCAACTTGCTTCATCTATGAGCCAGTTTCTGTGATGTTTTAGTGAAAGGGAAGTAGTGTTCCCCTTTACCATGACGAACAGATGTAAAGCTAAGGCCTCCTGATACAACACAGCAGGTACCTTTTTCTCTTATCTGGAAATGCAGCATTCACAACCCAAGGAGGAGGAAGGAAATTTAAGCTCTCCCTGGGCAGGGGACACAGGGCGGAGCGCAGAAGGCACTGAGGCTTTTCAGGGCCGCCTGGAATCAAACCCCAGCTTCGAGTCTCACTGGTCAAGCGACGCTGGGCTTCCGAACCTCTCTGAGCCAGTGTCTTCAGCTATAAAACACGAACACACTCCCTCCCTCCCAGTGTGGGTGTTTTCGAGAATATCAACCATATTTAGTCCCAGCAGTCCCTGGTGTTAACTGGCACCCATGTATTGGGAAGTCAAACCAGCAGAGCGAAACCCAACGGATGCGGAAGGGTCCCCCTGTGTCCCATTGCTCAGGAGACCATGTGGTTCTCAGCCACAGCTAAAGCCTTCCATCCCAGCTCTCCAGGCGCTTCCCCAGTGATCCCCACCTCGGAGCAAGGCTTTCAAACTGGAAATTTGTTTTAAGTAATCTCTGTGCCCAACATGGGGCTCATACTCGCAACCCTGAGATCAAGAGTTGCGTGCTCTTCCGAATGAGCCAGCCAGGTGCCCCAAACTAGAAATTTATTAAAGCCTTTATGCAGCCACCCCCTAAAGGGTGGGGGAACTAATCTGCACTATTAGATGTCACGATAGTGGGCTCTCCGGGTGGGGGCCAGCGGGTGGGCAGTTTCTGGGGTTGTAATCATGTCCTGTTTCTTCATCTGGACACTGGTTGATGTTATGTTCAGTTTCAGAAGATTTATCAAGTGGAAATTTGTATTAAAACAGTTCAATAAAACAGTTTAAGCCATTTTCATCCCGAGTTTATCTGGTTTTCACCCCTTCAGTTGAGGCTGGGATTGGAGGTATAGGACAAGAAAAGCAAACGTTTGGGCGCCTGGGTGGCTCAGATGGTTAAGCGTCTGCCTTCGGCTCAGGTCATGATCCCAGGGTCCTGGGATCGAGTCCCGCATCGGGCTCCCTGCTCCTTGGGAGCCTGCTTCTCGCTCTGCCTCTCTCTCTCTCTCATGAATAAATAAAATCTTTAAAAAAAAAAAAAAAAGCAAACGTTTGATTACTTCAACACTGGGTCGCTTCTCTTCCTTTACTCTCGGTCTGACTAGTGTAAGGAAGGGCGTGCAGAAGACTGTCCTGCGTCATTCCTATGTGGCCCGGCAGATGCGTGCTCAGGGCCGCCCCCGCAAGACAACGGGACAAAGGGCCACCACCATACACCCCTCCGCTCCACTCACCCAAAAAGCAGGGGTAAGGATGAAAGGGATGGGAACAGGACAGGGAAAGTCGAGGGAAAGGACAAAGACGAGAGTGTCCGTGCCCACGAGGAGGAGGAGGAGGCCATGGAGGACGGACGCGGGAGTTGAACAGAGAAGGCAGGGCAAGGGACTGAAAAGGGAAGCAACAGATAAAAAGGTAGAAAAGTTTTTCCCAGGGTTTCCCTAGGTCAGTAGCAACACCTAGACTCTTCGTGAGAGAGGACTCCCCGTGGACTGAGGCCCCACAGCTTCCCAAGTGAAACGGAGCACACAAGTCGCCAGGCAGTGGCCCCCGCCGCGTCTGACACAGGCGGCCCTACTCGGGGCCGGGCTGACGTGGCTCCCCCACCCCACGGCCAGTGGCCGCCCGCTGGGGAAAACTCTGATGAAGAGCGCAAGTGCAGGGCCATGGCACAGCCAGGGAGCACATGTGGAGCCCTCACCACCAGAAAGTTCTGTGAGCAGCCATTAGTACCCTCTCTAAAGGACTAGCCACCAAGTTCCCTGTTAGCAAACAGCTGGAGGCGGCGATCTGTCTAAAAGCTGAGGGAAAACAGCCCGTCGTCGTGAGATGAAAACCCCTATCACAGTTCTGTGGTATTTAGCTCTGCTTTTTTCTAAGTTCTTATTAGAGTAATAGACTGAGGTATTAAAGGTCAAATATTACCCCAGAAGCATGCCTCTCGCTTGGCTTCTGCTCTGAAAGCCACCAGCTACTTTCCTATCGACTAGAAAGAGGCCAGGTCTACTGAGGAGGTTAAAGGAAAGAGCACAGTCCATATTCAGCAGGAAGATTCCTTTATAATGGCGAATTTGAGAATACACAGTACGAGAGTCGGGCCTGAGTCACTGGGCCACGGGAGGCCGTAAGGACGCGGGTCCGAGGAGGGCCAGCGCGTGCCGGGGCTCCCGTCACACCGACTCATGCCAGGGCCGCCTGCCACGTCCCTCCCTGAAGCGCGGCCCACCCACCAGCTCTGTCAGGAACTACGTCGCACTTCATTCTTCACGTTTGGCCACTGAAGATAAAATCCGCCCCGATGACAGGGTTTCAGCACAACAGTCTTTCCAGTCATGAGAGATGGATGTCCCGGCTCTTGGTGAGAAACAAAAGTTCACTTGACTTCTCTTGCAAGAACCAGAGAGAATTTTTTTCTTAATGATCCGTTGAAATATTTATATATATTTAAAACAACTAACAGTCCATTCGGAGCGCTGTTTCCCTGGAAGATTCTCGTTATCACCCCTCCAATAGCCAGAGGGGACATGTATCAGGGAACAAAGAATTAAGACACTTCAAAATAAGCAATAAAAATCCTAGTGCAACACTCAGAAGCAGATGGTGGGCTCGCAGGGGCGGAGGGGAAGGAAGCAGGTGCTCTATTTAGGAGCAGGGTGCGGCCTCTGGGAAAGCCAAGCGGACACAGAAGCATCACGAAGCAGGAAACCCCGCTGGGGAAGGCCCGTTTCCTCCCGTGCTCTCCCCAGTACTCGGGGCCAAGGACCCTACCCCCTGCCCTCCACCCATGCCGGTGACCCGCACGCTAAGTTGGGCAGTCTCTGATGACTGACATCAGCCGAGGCCTGGAGTAGGGATCCAACCCCAGAGGGCCCCCGGAGATTCCTGTCGGGCCATTCCAAGCAAGAGGTACCTGGGAAAAGGCAAGGAAAGGAGAGGCTTCAAAGGCTCCCAGAGAAGAAGCAAAAGGTGACTAGCGACACAGTGGCTCTGTACCTGGCTCTGTTCTGTGGGGAAGACCTGCGGCCGCGGCCACCTTGTCCCCGTGCTGGGGACAGACTGTGCTAAGTCTTCAGAGCCAGCAGCAGCCTGAATATGCTCCACGTTCCCTTCAGATGTATCTACACGTAGATTTGTATCTTTATTATTTTTGACTGAAATAAACGCAACGGATTCAGGTTCATTCCCCTTTGCGGGAAGCTGCCCGGACCCCCGCGCTGAGGGGCTCACACCTTCGGGCCGGCCGCCAGGCTCGCCCCGGCTGGCCACCTGCCCCACCCCCACCCCAGGAAAGTGGCCCCAGGAGTAGAGGACACACACTGTGACAGGTTCCCGGCAGGAGGGCCGACCTCAATGAGACTTCTGTTTCTAACCCTGAGAACCTAAGGAATTGTGAAGGACGCGGAGAGGGAGCTGGGGTTAAAGGTCACCGGGCTTTTTATTGCAGTTAAAGCAGACTCGGACAGGATGGTCCCAGCCTCGCGAGGGGACAGCCCGGCGGTCGTGGGAGCACTCGTCACAGAAGCCCTGTCCGCAGGCCCGGCAGTGGTGCTTGGAAAGCTTGATGCTGAACTCCTTCCGGCAGCTGTGGCAGTGCAGGATCTCGTGGTCGGGCACCCAGTACGCCGGCCTGGCCGCGTCCTTCACCAGCCCTGCGGCGGGACAACAGCGAGGGCCCCCGGGCCAGGGGGCACCGTCAGGCTCTTCCCCGGCTCGCGGCCCCGCCGCCCCCGCGCCCGCCTACACGGCCACGCCGGCGCCCCGCACCTACGGAGCTTGTAAAACACGCAAAGCCCTGGCCTGCGCCCACACCATGCAGGTCAGACCCGGAGCTGCAGCCCAGGTGCTGAGATCCGCGCATCTACTGAGCTCACAGGTGATCCTGAAGCGCAGCTGCATCAGGCACCACCGGGGCGGCCGCCCGGGGGGCTCAGTCGTTAGGCGTCTGCCTTCGGCTCACGTCATGATCCCGGGGGCCTGGGATCGAGCCCCACGTCGGGCTCCCTGCTCCGCGGGAAGCCTGCTCCTCCCTCTCTCTCCCTCTGCTTCTCCCCCTGCTTGTGCTTGCACTCTCGCTCTCTCTAATAAATAAATAAATCTTAAAAAAAAATTACCACTGGAATAATGATAAAGAAGCCCACAGGGCGCCTGGGTGGCTCAGTTGGTCAAGCGAATGCCTTCGGCTCAGGTCGTGATCCTGGAGTCCCGGGATCGAGTCCCGCATCGGGCTCCCTACTCAGCAGGGAGTCTGCTTCTCCCTCTCCTGCTCCCCCCTCTTGTGCTCTCGCTCTCTCTCTCTCAAATAAATAAATAAAATCTTTAAAAAAAAAGAAGCCCAGACTCTGGGAGTCAGGATATCTCTTCATTCAAATCCCAGTTCCACTGAGCACGTGCTAATTAGCGGCTGCAGGATCAAGAGGTTATCTAACTTCTCAGGGCCTTGGCTTCCTCCTCTTCAACAACCCACATTCAAGAGCAGTTACGGGGATTACAAGAGATAACGTGACATGTCTGACACACTGGCCTGGGACCCAACAGCCAGTGGGCGCTGCGCAGGTGAGCCGTTGGGGAGCACAGGCGGCCGGCTCTCTGTGCCGAGGGCAGCCCCGCTCCTCCCAGGCAGCCGAGAGCGGATGCAACCTGAGCTTCAAGCCTGGGCAAATCTATTCCTACCAAATCTATTCCTTGAGTCAAAAGCTCATCATCTGCTCACCTTTGAGCCACAAGGACGGTAAATCAGATCCAAGTGATTTCTACCACCACCCACCCAGGAGCCTTCAGTCGCTCCCCTGCAATGGGCAGAAACACCCCAGGCCCAGCCAACCGAGCCCAAGCCTTCCACACACACACTGGAGGGTTTCCCTTCCCCTCCCTCTGGCCCTCCTAGTTACAGGTACCCCTCACAACTGGAGGTGAATAAGGATCTTAAATCCTTAATGAGTAACAGCTTGGCTTGGTTGGTGTGGTCGATTAAAGACAGCCACAAACTGACACTCCTGCCCCCTCCCTCAAATCCAGGCAGGCTTTGTGACTACAGGAGTCTACGGCAGAGGAGTCTTCCGGGCCCAGAGCTTCAAGACACTGGTGGCTTCTACCTCTTATCTCTTGGGATGTTGGCTCTTAAGAGTCCTGAGCCCCCACGTAAGAAGTCCAACGACCCCTGGAGAAACCATGTAGAGAGGCCTGAAGAACACACGGAGATGGGATCTACCAAGCCCAGCCTTCCAGGCAGTCCTGCCGAAGTGCCCAGCATGTAAGCGAGGTTGGCTTGGCCCCTCAGGACACAGGCTGCCACACTGGACTATCAGGTGGCAACTCCAGGCAATGCCACCTAGACCAGAATAATTACCCTTCCTGACTCAAAGTTGTGAGACATGATAAAATGGTGTTATTTCGGGGCACCTGGGAGGCTCAGTCGTTAAGCGTCTGCCTTCAGCTCGGGTCATGATCCCAGGGTCCTCGGATCAGGCCCCGCGTCGGGCTCCCTGCTCTGCGGGAAGCCTGCCTCTCCCTCTCCCACTCCCCCTGCTTGTGTTCCTGTTCTCACTGTGTCTCTCTGTCAAATAAAATAATTTTTTAAAAAATGGCGGTTGTTTCAAGCCTTTACATTTTCAGGTAGTTTGTTATGCAGCAATGGATGGTGTAAGAGATGGCCTCCAGGATTAAACATGAAACCACTAAGGTTCAGCAGAAGCAAGGAAACGTAAATTTTCCGTCAACTCCTTGCTGCCCAGCTCAATCTAGGTCAGCAAGCCCGACACAGTGACAGCCCGGGGCACTCTGAAACCCCTCATCCCACACACACTACACCCACCTAGTGGTATGTCAATGGCTGTCACCACGGCTCCCAAAGTGCTCTGCACGGCCTCGCCCACCTTCCGAGCAATCAGCGTCCCGCCTTCATCGTCAGCCTGTGCCTCAGTCACATCTGTAGACAGTGAGAAAGGAAAAGCCGTCACCTCTTAGTCATTTCCCAAATGGGAAACTCGGGGCAACCGCAGAGCGCTTCTGGATTCTTCTCCCAGGATACCACTGTGCTTCCTGCCCTGCAGTGAGCTCTGGTAGTCCTTGACCTCCACCCTCTGGAGCTGTTTTATAACCTTCCTCTCAGGGTAAGCCAGAAAGGTTCTAGGAGCAGGACCCAGAACCTTCTCCAGGAAGAAGACCCAGTCTAAGCCATGTCTGGTAAACACAGGGCAGGGTGAACCCCCCACCCCCAGGACTCTATGAACAAAGAGCTTAGAGGACGCCGGCCAGGGCCAGGCGGGCAGCTGCCGTCGTTAGAGTGACGGGGCTGGAACGGGCTGAGGCATGTGGGAGTCCACTGTGCAAGGAGAGAGGGCCCCCCCACCCCGGCAGCTCCTGGGCCCCACGTTACCTAACTGGACATTCCTGGCTTCGTAGCAGGTGTCACACACCCGCACGGGCGCAGGGCCCCAGCCCCGCTCAGGCACGGGCCGGGTCTTGGACGAACAGCTGTCACAGAAGCCCTCCCCGCAGGCGCGGCAGTGATGCTTGGTGTCGTTATCTTTGAACGACGTAGCGCACTTGTTGCAGCTCTGTTCCAAGCCCAAAACAAACAGAGGGGCAGGTATTATTCGCTTCTACCAGCTGAGAAAGCCAGCGAGACCCCGGCAGAGGACCCCAGGACCACTGAGAACGGCAGGACCCCGACAGCAGTAATGGAGAGAACCTGAGACCTCCAGTCACAGCGCACCCACCGAAGCCCAGCTGTGACCCATTTTCTCCTGAGATGTGCCTGGAAAGCCACCTCAAATCTGTCTGGCTGAGTCACAGCATCCTCAGAAAGGACTCTGCTGCAAAGTCTAGCAAGAAGACCAATGAGAATTCATTTTTTTTCCGCGGCTTCTCAAAGGAGCCTTGGGGAAGGGGGTGAGGAGCAAGCTTCCTGTCCCAAAGTGTGTGGACCAAAGCTGGGGGCTCCCTTGCTGTGGGCAGAGATTTTTGCATCAAGCCACATGACCTCTAAATGCCCCTTTTACTCCAGATTCTGTTATCTACCACCTCAGACATCTGACCAATAAGAACTACCCCTTGGAGGCAAAGAAACTATAATCCACCAAAAGGAGTAACCGCAGAGTAAGACAAAGAGAAATCAATGGGCAAGAGAACATGGCTTCCTCACGTGCCCCCGCTTTCTAACGCTCTGGGATCGAACCTGGCTGAAAGAGAAATCCCCCGCCTCCCTCACAGAGCAAGCTTAGGACGGGGCAAAATGGCACCAGCAGAAGGGGCCACGCCAGGGATGCAGGGGCATCCTGCCGCACCATACCAGGATCTGGGAGTTGGGCCTCCAGTACGCAGGGGCAATCTGGTCTGTCAGCCAGGAAGTCACAGCCTTGGTGGGCCCAAGGCTAAGCTCAGACACCGACTGAGCCATGAAGTTCATCCCGTCCAAGAGGCGCTGGGCAGCATTATTGTTGTCCTTCAGAAATCCATCAGTCTGAAATGAAAATGCAGGCTCCCATCATGCTCTGAGTAAAGGGAGTAAAGGCAAGGAGGGAGACGGGATCTCAGGTGAGTTGTACACTCATCAATGGCCAACTCAGAACCCACAAACTCCCTGGCAGAGAAGAGTGGGAACAGATCACGAATCCCTCCAGCTTCTAGGCAGTATCACACCCACCAGTCATTACTGACTTACTCCCTTCACGGCGACCATAAGACGTGGTGCACAACTGTTCAACTCAGGCCTTACCTGCCCATTAGCAAGATGTACAATCCAGGAGGTATTCGAGTAAAGATGGCACCTCCTTCAGGAAGCCCCCACCCCCACCCCAGGCTGGGTTAGGAGCCCTTTCTCTTGGCTTCCTCTAATACCTGTACATTGTTAAGAATCCTGTTTCCATGTGTAAAAACAGTACCTGTTTATGTATTTGACTCGCTATTAGACTGAGCTCTCTGAAAATAACCTACCTTTTTCATTCTTGTATTTTTAAAGTATCAGGTTCAATTCTGGGCACAGAGTACTCAACCATTACTTGGGCTGACATAATGACTGAGTGAACGAACAGAAGGGGAGGGGCCTGTATCCCCTAATCCCAAGAACCATGACGAATGTGGCCTAAAAGGGAACGATGATATCACTGCTTTCTTGGAACAGAACCATCTTACCATGGAGACAGCGGCATTCACAAGAAAAAACACAGGTCCAAAAACAAAAGACATTAGTCAGAAAAGGTGTAGTGAGAAAGTTATACTAGTCAAGGCCACATTAAGTCCTTGGGACAGGATGGCCCGGCCCATCGTGCCAAGAGGGTGGGCTCCAGAAATGAGACCATACCACAGGAACACATTTTGGTGGGACTGGAAACTGGAGAGAAGAACAAACAATAAGGAAATCTTCGGTTTTATGGGAGCTATAGGACCCCAGAAAGCTCAAGATGGCTCTGCAGGTAGGCCTGTGGGGCTGACCGGTACCTTTAGGAGTCACCCAGCAAAGGGAACAGCACCAAGTAAGGTAAGTCCCTTCGAGAAAATCACTCATCTTTTTTCTACGAAGAGACAAGGTTTGGGTGTATTGTGATTTACTGGTAAGAACAAGAGCACATCACTGCCTCCAAACAGGTTTGTTTTTCCAATATCTTGAATTCAAAAGTCAAATTAAAAAATAGTAAGGGTCGGTAGAAATCCCCCTTCTTAGAATGTAGTTCAAGAGAATTTTCCAGAACAGAGGCTTTCACACATAAAGAATGTCACTATAGCATTTTGATAATTAAAAAAAATCATAAACAGCATGTTCAAAAAGAAGGGGATGGAGAATCAAACCAGAACATGCGACAGAATGTTCCAGTGACTACAAATGTGAATCATGAAAAGTGGAAGCAATGTGAAAGTAAAACGGAGGTATGAGAAAAAGCAGGTATAAAATGGCACGTAAATTATAACTGCATCTACACACACATGCATGTGGAAATGAGAATGTGAAAAAATACCTTATTTGCTAAGGCAGTATAATAGGAGCTCAACATTTAGTTTATTTAAAGTTGTGCTTCTAATATTCAGGCAAGAAGAAATGAAAATAAGTAAGGGTCTAGGACAAGAAAGGCTCTCCAGATCCTGCCTCCCTCAGCCACCAAAATATTAAAATTCAAGGTGAACCTTAATTCTACACAAGTTCCATTCTCCACACCCATGAATAACTGAATGATACGAGAAATGAAGCAGCCCTTACCCCAGGCCACACGTGCACAATCTCTGTCCGGACCACCGTATCCACAGGATCCTGGTTCCCAAACCAGTACTGCCGGCTCCGGTAGACCACGCCGCAGTTGGGACATTCGATCACATACCTACAAGCAGAGCAAAGAGGTACTGTTACCGGGCCAGGTGCCTGGCAGACCGACACACCACAACCCTCAGCTACATCGTCGCCATTTAAACTCACCCAGACCAGGCATACTTTGCGAGACCCATCCAGGGGGAGTCCGTGGAAGCGGATGTCTTGGGCACTACGCTGACCTCCTTGCCTCTCTCATAGCACGCCTGAAACATGGAGCACTCCATCAGCTTCTTTTCTGTACACCAGACCCCCTGGCCCCTTCGTGTCCCTGGCCAGGCCCCTTCCCACAAACCACATCAGGGTTTGCAGACCCTGAGTTCAGCGCAGCAGGGGAAGGGTCGTTTCTCTAAAAAGGCCAGGGCCCTAAAAGATCATGAATTGAATGTGTACCCATCCCAGGCCCCAAAACGGAGCTGTAATTTATACCCGCCCCCGAAAAGCCATTAGACTGGGTTCCTGCAGAGCACTCCCGCTCTGGAGAAGAATGAACAGTCAGTGTATATGCCCCTGGCATACAAAGCTCAACAGAATAAAGGGAAAACAGACTGGGAAATAAATCAATAAATAAATAAATAAACCAAGGGGCCCCAGCAATGGAGGCATGGGAGTTCCTCTGGTTAGAGCTGGGGAGAAGTCCCAGAGATAGTGGATTTGAACATCAAATACTTCGGGACGCAGCAAAGGGTGGCCCCTAGTCTTTCCCGAAAGCAGAGCAGGATCAGCAAGCCAGCTGCCAGAGCAGAGCACTCACCTTGCAGGTATAAACGCGGTTGTCATACTGGTGGGAGTATCTGCAGCGGCTCTTGGCTTCATGAGGGACGCCTTCTTTCCCATGATTCATGCTGTTCTTACATCCAGCCCTGAGTGAAGCCCAAAAGCTGACAGTGAGGTCGCTAAAGGAGACCCTGGCACTCACACGGGGGAGTGGGACCCTGAGCCGGACCCAGGGTTATGAACTGGGCCCCGAATCCTGAGCACAGAGGGTGCCGCGTGTGGCTCAGAAATCCACACGCCTCTCTGATACGAGACCCAACAGCACGACGGAAGTGAGGCCACTATCACCCTTGTGTGCGGAGAAAGGAGAAGAGAGGGAGGACTCTCTTCCTGGAAAACCCACGCGGACGGCCCCACAGAAGGAATGGAGGAGCCGGAAGATGCCGCCCTGACAGGTGATAAAACCCGAATGGCGCTCAGGAAACCCCAAAATCCAAAAAAGCACAAAATGGGAAGTTTAACGAGAACAGGCTGCCAAGATGTAAAACAAAAACCAACCTCCAAAATTTGGCAATGCATTAAAAGGAGGCTTAAGCTGAACAAGAAAACATTCCAAATGAACAGTGAGCTCTGCCATCCTGACAACGCAAAAACAAGAGAACAGGACTTTAGAATTTCACCATGATAGAAGGGAAAGTTCTGGAAACCCTGGTGAGGCTGTCAGAATGGAAAAGTGATGATCCAACAGAACCTAAGCCCCTCATGCTGGGCTATGGGCTAAACAAAAAGGAAGGTAAATCACGCTGGCAACTAACATCCCGCTTTCCTCTCCAACATAATCCTTAGCTCTCCCCAGCCCAGACCATATAATCTAAAAGCAAATCCTTTTTACAGATTCAGAGCCAAGGTGGTGGCAGTTCAGTGCCCAGCAGGTAGCCTGCATTCAGGGTTCAATGCCGGAAGACCATTCACAACAAAAGGCTCAGGTCTCCTCCTCTAGAGGGATACACGTGGAGGATGTGGGGCAGTGGTCCTGATGGGAGTGAAGACAATTCAATGGTGAAGAAGATGGCGGGGTGGGGACCCAGAGACTGCGATCTCACCGACACATTGCATTTAAGTCCCCTGAGCTCCATCAGACAAGTCACCAGACTGTGATTTAATAGCCGTCAACAGCTCAAATTAATCCAGGGATCCTTAAAGTGTGGCCCCAATGAGCAACATCAGCATTACCTGGGAGCTTATCAGAAATGCAAATTCTCAGATCCGCTGTCAGACCTACTGAACCGGAAACTGGGGAGGCAAGGCCCGACGTATTTTAACACGTCCGTCAGGTTTTTCTGACGCATGATCAAATGTGAGAATCGAGGCTCCAAGGCCCCAGTAACAAAGTGCAGTCAGCAGACGGGGCAGCACCACGTCACCCGGGAGCTTGTCAGAAATGCACAATCTCACCCAGGCCGCTGATGCAGAATTTGCATTCGAACAAAACCCCAAGGCGCTGCACACACAGATTACAGTTTGAGGAGCACTGCCCTAACTCAATGTTCTCAACACATCAGAATCATCTGAGGACCCTTTCAAACGCACCAACACGAAGGGCCCCACCCCAGCTCTGTTAAGTGAGCATCCTCGGAGGTGAGGCCCAGGCCTTGGTAACTTTGAAAGCTCCCTGGAGAATTCTAATGTGCTCTCAGAGTCTGCCCTCACAGTGAAAGGAATCAACCAGGACTGACACCTACTACAACAGAGCTTTGTACACACGAGGCTGGCAAATGTGAGTTAAGCAAGCGGAATGACTACAGTGAAAAGCCTTGGTAGGAGAAACGTAGAAAAACAAAGCAACCTAACGTTTTCTGTAGTAAAAACCTGCCCAAGCCAGAAGCCAGCCAATTTCATATCTAAACCAGTTCGGACTCGTCAGAGGACTCTTCATAGCCATGTATCCTAGAATCCCTTACAACCTCAAAGTGTGGTCCCCCGACCACCGGGATTCACCTGGGAACTTGTTGGAAATACACATTCTCAGACCCCAACCCACCCTTAATTCAGAATCTGGAATTTAACCAGACCCTAGGGGACCTGCACGCACACTGAAGTCTGAAGTCCGCGTCTCTTTGCCCAAGATGGCCAGCCTCACTTACCCACAGCTGAGGCACAAGGAGGAGCAGGTGAAGTATTCATCTGGGAAAAAGGAGCTGTGCGCCATCTGGTCATCAGGAATCTCACCGCTGAAGCGGTCACTCAGTGCCTGCCGAGGAGGGAAGGCGACACATGAAGGCACTTGGCAGAGAGCCCCACGCTCTGGCTCTTACCGCTACTTGCCTTTCTAAGTTCCCCTCGTCACTGGCTTATTTCTTACAGTCTCCACTGCTGGAAGAGGCAACCCAATGACTTCTGCTCCTTACCTTCTTGGCCCAACCTGCACCCATCCTCGCCACAGGAAACCTGAGAAGAACCAGCCCATTCCCCTGGAGGTCAGAAGGAAGCCAGCAATGTTACTGTGCTCTCTTAATTACCCTGGAGGTTATAAACATCTCACACACTCAGTCTTTCATGCAAAACCACCACAGATCCTAATGCCCATTTCATCCTTTGAAGCTAGAACCAAGAAACGGAGACCTGAGAAGAGGCCTCGTCTTTAAGTCAGAGACAGGCAGAGCTGAGTGGTGAGCTGGGAGTTCCCTGGGCCTCTATCCCAGTTCTAACCACAGGCGCTCTTTTGGAGTTTACTAGGCCACAGAACTAGCTTGATGTAGGAGAAAAGTCATCAGCCAAAAAACAAGGAAGAATTATTGTAGTGTTTGGCAGCCTTTTATTAACAAACAGTAACCTAAAACACAGCAAACAGCCAAAATAAATGCCAAGAAGAAAAATAAAGTATTTGCAAAAGCAAACTGAAAATTTTATGTTGAAAGGTAGCTTCCATGTCTGGTCCTCTGTTTTCACTCACTACTTTACACACAAAGCATCCTTCAAGCTGATTTCTTCCCCCCTGCCCCCCAGGCCCTTCCTCATATGCAGTGGAGAAAAGTTATATAAATTCAAGAGAAATGGCCTTTTCAGACTTTAAAAATCATCATATGCATGCAGCTCCCAGCTTCCAAGTTTCAATCTCCCTTTCTGAGGCAGCCACGCACTATTCAGGGGGAAGAGAAAAGTGGCCTACAACAAAAAGACAAGATGTTACTTCCTTTTAAAAAGGCAAAAGAAAATTTAAGAGGAGGGGTGCCTGTGTGGCTCAGCCGGTTGGCTGTCTGCCTTCGGTTCAGGTCATGGTCCCAAGGTCCTGGGATCGAGCCCCACATCGGGCTCCCTGCTCAGTGGGGAGTCTGCTTCTCCCTCTGCCTCTGACTCTCCGCCTGCTGTGCTCTCTCTCTCTCAAATAAATAAAATAAGAAAGAAAGAAAGAAAGAAAGAAAGAAAGAAAGAAAGAAAGAAAGAAAGAGAAAGAAAGAAAGAGAAAGAAAGGAAAGAAAAAAGGAAAGGAAAGGAAAGAAGGAAGGAAGGAAGGAAGGAAGGAAGGAAGGAAGGAAGGAAGGAAGGAAGGAAGGAAGGAAAGAAAGAAAGAAAGAAAGGAAGGAAAGAAAGAAAGAAAGAAAGAAAGAAAGAAAGAAAGAAAGAAAGAAAGAAAGAAAGAAAGAAAGAAAGAAAGAAAGAAAGAAAGAAAGAAAGAAAGAAAGGAAAGAAAGAAAGAAAATTTAAGAGGAGATTTGGGAAAAGAGCAGATTAGGTTTTAAACCTAAGTTCTCAAGCTCTGAAGGGAATTTCACTTAATGGGAACTTGTTAAACTTCCTTCTCCTTTTCTCAGTGAAATCGTTAATATCCCGAGTTGCGAACTCGAGTGCTGATAAACGCACCTGAAGTCAATGTTGAGTCAGGTCAGGTGTAAGACAGGAGGAGTGGCAAGGAGTGTGTCAAAGTGAGGGTGCATGACTCACCCAGGCACGTTCAAACAGCTTCTGCGTGGATCACACTTGGGATCTGCCAGCCATGGCCGAGCAGGTCACAATCCTTGACTCAGACCAACAATAAAGGTCTGACAAGTAATATATATAAGTCCTGTCCTCTTAGGGGTATTTTGTGAGGAGTAACCTAGGAAAACACTGAGCTTTGAGAGAGAGGATACAAATGAATATACAGATGAATATTAATAATAATCAAAAGCAGAATCACTCACTAGCCTACACTGCTCTCCTCTGTCCTTTTTTATTCTTTTAAGATTTTATTTATTTATTTGAGAGAGACACAGTGAGAGAGGGAACACAAGCAGGGGGAGGGGGAGAGGGAGAAACAGGCTTCCCGCTGAGCAGGGAGCCCGATGCGGGGCTCGATCCCAGGACCCTGGTTTCATGACCCAAGCTAAAGGCAGATGCTTAAAGACTGAGCCACCCAGGCGCCCCTTCTTTTTTTTTTTTTAAGATTTATTTACGTGAGAGAGAGCACACGCGCAAGGGTGGGTGTGGAGGGGCAGAGGGTAAGGGAGAGAGCGAAACTCAAGCAGATTTGGCGCTAAGCTCGGAGCCCCATACGGGGCCCGATCTCACGACCCTGATATAAGACCTGAGCTGAAACCTGAAGTTGGAAGCTTTAACAGACTGTGCCACCCAGGTGCCCCTATCCTACTTCTAAATAACCTATCCTACCAGGATTTTTTTGGTCTCATCTCTTCCACGAAGCCTTCCCAACCACTCTAGACATACCACACTCTGCCTTCTCTGAACACCAGTTATATTCAATACCTGAGGTACATATTGAGTAATTGGGCGATGATGCAAAGTTATGGCCCAGTTGTATGGATATTACCTCCCAGACAAGATCACACATGCTGTGAAAGTCGTTTCCTACCTTTGTATCCTCCACTGCTCCTAGCGAAGCAGCGAACCTAACAGGTTCTCAACTAGGACCTCTGGAATGAAGTGGTCCAGCACCAACCCCCATGTGCACACCAAACCCGCCCTCCCCTCCTCACCTTGGCCCTGCCTCTCTGCCAGGCTTCATCCCATGCCCACAGACTCTCAAATTTAAGGCTAGGGGCGCCTGGGTGGCTCAGTCGTTAAGTGTCTGCCTTCGGCTCAGGTCATGATCCCAGGGTCCTGGGATCGAGCCCCACATCGGGCTCCCTGCTCCACGGGAAACCTGCTTCTCCCTCTCCCACTCCCCCTGCTTGTGTTCCCTCTCCCACTGTGTCTCTCTGTCAAATAAATAAATAAAATCTTAAAAAAAAAAAAAAATTTAAGGCTAGCTGCTCCCTGATTGGCCAAATTACTGAGAATTCTTAAGGCTTTATTTCTCAAATAGGTAGGTGCATAGCTGTCTGGGACTGGCTGGTGCGAAAATAGAGCATTATCTTCCTAATGCATCAATTTACTGAAAGATTGGGGGAAGAAGTTTGATAGAGATAAAGCAGACATGGGTAGAGTATGAAACTGAATGGACAATCTGCATAAACAAAACATAAGGGGCGCCTGGGTGGCTCAGTCGTTAAGCATCTGCCTTCGGCTCAGGTCATGGTCTCAGGGTCCTGGGATCGAGCGCCGCATCGGGCTCCCTGCTCTGCAGGAAGCCTGCTCCTCCCTCTCCCACTCCCCCCCTGCTTGTGTTCCCTCTCTCGCTGTGTGTCTGTGTCAAATAAATAAATTAAAATCTTAAATAAATAAATAAATAAATAAATAAATAAATAAATAAATAAGACACCCCCCCCGCCCCAGTCATTTCAGCTTGTCACTGGTGGGTCTGCACCCTCTGTGCTTCTATCTCCTCATCTATAACAAGCGGCTGCTAGGAGTACCTTCCTCAGTAGGCATCTTCACAGATTACACGGTCAAGACCAATGGAACTTACAAATAAAGAGCACGTGGCATAAATTAAGAGCTCAAAACATTCACTGCCATTATTAACCATTTTTATTGCTTTTTTTTATGCTGATAATTTTCTTATTTTCTTCCTTAGATACCCTCCTACCTAACCCAGGTAATGCAAGGGATCTCTCTCCTTGCCATCCTTTCCATGATAGCTCACTGGTCTTCATAGCTGCTTGCATTTGCTGGTGAACATTTTACTTTATTATTTTAATAAGTTCTACACCCAACGTGGGGCTTGAACTCAGTGGGCGAATATTTAGCTGCAAAAAGATGCTTGCGTATCAGGGTGCCTGGGTGGCACAGTCAGTTAAGTGTCCTACTCTTGGTTTAGGCTCAGGGCATGATGTCAGGGTCATGAGATCAAGCCCCATGTGGGGCTCCACACTCAGCGCAGAGTCTGCTTAAGATTCTCTCTCCCTCTCCCTCTGCCCCTCCCATCTGTGTGTGAACACACTCTCGCTCTCTCTCTAAAAATAAATAAATCTTGGGACACCTGGGTGGCTCAGTCAGATAAGCGTCTGCCTTTGGCTCAGGTCATGATCCCAGAGTCCTGGGACTGAGTCCATCATCGGGCTCCCTGCTCAGTGGGGAGCCTGCTTCTCCCTCTGCCTGCCACTCCCCCTGCTTGTGCGCGTGCAAGCTCTCTCGCTGACAAATAAATAAATCTTTAAAAAAATAAAAATAATTGCTTCTCGGCCTTTTGGCTAAGATCAAATGTAAAAAAATAAAAATAGGGCACCTGGGTGGCTCAGATGGTTAAGCATCTGCCTTCGGCTCAGGTCATGATCTCAGGGTCCTGGGATCAAGTCCCGTGTCGGGCTCCCTGGTCAGTGGGGAGACTGCTTCTCCCTCTGCCTCTGCCTCTCTCTCATGAATAAATAAATAAAATCTTAAAAAAATAAAAAAAGGGCACCTGGGTGGCTCAGTCGTTAAGCGTCTGCCTTCGGCTCAGGTCATGATCCCGGGGTCCTGGGATCGAGCCCCACATCGGGCTCCCTGCTTGGCGGGAAGCCTGCTTCTCCCTCTCCCGCTCCCCCTGCTTGTGTTCCCTCTCTCACTGTGCCTCTCTCTGTCAAATAAATAAAATCTTTAAAATTAATTAATTAATTAATTAATTTAAAAAAATGGGCGCCTGGGTGGCTCAGTCGTTAAGCGTCTGCCTTCAGCCCAGGTCATGATCCCAGGACCCTGGGATCCCTGCTCAGTGGGAAGCCTGCTTCTCCCTCTGCCACTCCCCCTGCTTGTGTTCCCTCTCTCGCTGTCTTTCTTTGTCAAATAAATAAATAAAATCTTTAAAAAAATAAAAATATTTTTTTAAAAAGATGCTTATGTATCTAATGGCGGAACAGAGGAAGGAAAAAAAAGAGATCACTAAGGAATGTAAAA